CCTTCTATTGTCAATATCCTAGGGTACCATCTTTAGAATCATCGTCGTCAACATTTTCATCATCATTATTAACGTCAACATCATCATTATTAACGTCAACATCATCAACAACAACATCATCCACAACATCAACAACAACATCAACATCATCCACAACATCAACATCATCAACATCATCAACATTAACATCAACAACATCTTCAACATCAACATTAACAACAACGCCAACATCAACATCATCAACATCTTCGCCAACATCACGCCAACATCAATATTATCATCATTATCAACAACATCATCAACAACATCATCACCATCAACATCATCAACAACATCATCAACAACATCATCACCATCAACATCATCAACAACATCATCAGCAACATCATCAATATCAACAACATCATCATCCTCACATCACGATTACAATCAAACAGCCGATTTAAGCCAGGAGAAAGTTAAAACCTCTCTAAATTAATTGATAATCCCACAAAAGATACACTAACAATTACAACGTAAACAACAACAGCAACAACAATAACAACAATAAGAAGAATACTAATAAAAAGCATTACATGAAACACATGTGACTTGCTTGAATAAACGAGCATTAGAGACGTCAAAACATTTACTTAAGCGATTCGGCATACCATTGATCAACACATGCCGCGTTTTATTTTCTTTGCCATTCCTCTTGTTGTTATTGTTGTTGTTGTTGTTTTATTTTGTTATCATTGATGTTGTTGTTGTATTGGCATTGTTTTTATTGTTTTGTTGTGTTTGTTGTTGTTGTTGATGATGGTTAATTTGTTGCATGCGAACAACGGCTAATGTATTTTCGTTTGTTCGTTCGTTTGTATGTTGCCGGTTGGTAAGTTCTTCCTAAATTAAAGAAATTAAATCGTAGCGAATGGTTGATGGCCGTGATCACGTGATTGTGCATGGATAACCAATCATCTTTTCTTTATGTTGTCAAACGTTCATTTTCCTTTTTATATAATTTTAAATATATGTATATAAATATATGTATATTATTATAAATAAATTGTAGATCAACCAATTTTCAGCTGATTCTTTCCTTTAGTTCGCGCCAAATGTAATAAATCTTATTGTATTCATGCATTGAAAAAATTGTTTGTGCCTGTGTGCACGTGTGTGCTGTCTATGTATGTGTGTGTGTGTGTTTAGGTGTGTGTGTGTGTGTGTGTGTAGATGTGTGTGTGTGTGTGTGTGTGTGTGTGTGTGTGTGTAGGTGTACGCATGTTTGTTCGTGTATGGATGCTAACATTGTATATGTACTTTGTATGTGAACCGTGTATCTCTCTCTCTCTCTCTCTCTCTCTCTGTGTGTGTGTGTGTGTGTGTGTTGTGCGCAGTTTATATGTTTATTGTGCACGTAATCTGAAGAGCTGAAGAACTCCATAAATCAATGAATTTTGAAAAACACTCAGCGTTCAATTTAATTGTCCCGATGAAACAGATTCATGTTGTCATTAATGCTTCAACACTCAGTGGAAACGTTAAAACCTGGATTGGCTTTTAACAAGACAATAAATTACTTCCAAGTCAAACGATGGATATAATTTGTTCAATATTTTTCGCACGCAGGTTACAACATTAGATCAGCCTACCGACCATCTCCAGTCACGAACTTGACTTTCATTCTAAGCGAAATACCAACGACGTACAAGCTGAAGAAAGCTTACTTGAAGATACTGACCACAAAATCCATTAACAGTTCCTATCATATTAACATTTACAGAGTTAATCACGTACACCGAAGGTTCGTTTCTTACATCGGGTTATACCAACATCTCATTACATCATATTACACCACGTTAAATCACATACGGCACGTTATTTTACATTACAATAAGTTCAACACCATCACATGCCAATTAGTTCCCTTAAGTTATTCTACAACTTGTAAGACTAAAGTTGAAACTCATAGCATTACAGTCAATAGCATCACATGACATTACATTACATTGCAGCGAATCACACGCAGTTACTACTTGCAGTTATTCCCGCGTTTGAATGAACGAAAAATAAAATCTTCTCACGCCAAATGCAGACAGAAGAATGTAAGTTTGGTGGCCTCTCACGTACTCCACAGTCTGCCATCCTTCAGTCATCATCATCGCAGCACTCTGCAGTACCAGAAATGGTTGAGTTATGACGTCACTGAAGCACTGAAGAATGAGCAGGGCTTCAGGAAAAAAATCGTCTTCTCACTTCAAATACTCAACGAACGTGGTTTGTCTGCCTTTTTGAGAAGCATCTATTTATCAACCCTTATCAAAATGTATTAACCTAAACTTAAAGTCAATATGCCAATGTTCCCGATGTTTGAAATTAACATTTAAAATGATGAACGAAATGAAATCAGTATCGTGCCACTTATAACACCACAGGTCAAACGGTGCACCCATCATCAATCGGCGTTCAACTGAACAACCCGAGGACCAGTCCACGAAACCAGGCTTTCCTGGTCACCATGTTTCATTCGCAAAATGAAGATGAGAGGATTCAGTTGAGTAGAAGAAAGAAAAGATCTGCCGACATAAGAAACCTCGGAGAATTCAAAACCAGGAAAGTGCGCAAGGATAGTCGGAACAAGAGAAATTCGTACAAGAAGAAACCAAACTATCGTTAGTCGTCTGCTTTACTGCCTTCTCGTATTTCTATTCAAAACTATTTTCGAAACATTCTTAAAAATTATTGCAACAGTTACCAGACTCTGCCAACGTCGAAAGTTATACGTGGACTTCGGCGATCTAGGCTGGGAGGTTGGTATCAACTTGTCTGAATTTTGATGACGTTTGATGTGCAGAAACTGTTTTGTAGATTTGAATGCAATGAGACATCTCACCCAGAAAAACCTATTATAACATCAATATCATGTTTAAACCCTTCTTGACTTAGCTTCTCATTTATTACTCATCTTTGAAAATCGTAGAACTACCTGCATTTAGTTTTTCACATTTCAGTTGCTAGTCAAATTTTTATTTTTGTATGCGTACATAGAACCTACTGACTGCATAGGATCACATCACGCGCATCACAAAAACGCGTGTGACAATCGAGATCCGCACTTACAGGATTTGAATCGCATCAAAGCGAATGAACAACTGCTGATCCTCTATTACAACAAAATTTATTAATAATGCTTCTAAATATTTTTTCATAAACATAGGATTGGGTGATAGCTCCAGTGGGCTACACGGCCAACTACTGTTACGGCGAATGCACCTACCCGATGAATTCATACATGAATGCCACGAACCATGCCATCATACAAACTCTAGCTCACTCCCTCAACTCCTCATATGTGCCCAAGCCATGCTGTGCCCCCATCAAGTTGTCCACGCAATCTGTCCTCTACATCGACGACAACAGCAACATCGTTCTTAAGTTCTACAAGAACATGGTAGTGAGGGCTTGTGGTTGTTTATAAGATGACAGTCTACCGATGTTAATACTTGTCGACTATCCCACCACTCCTATTTCACCTCTTGTTTGAAGTTCAAATTTCGACAAATGTTCAAGTGTCATCAAATTGTGCTCGTGACGATCATTTTTCCTGTTTTCATTTGGAAGCAGAAATATATTTGTTAACGACGTGAAGGGGTTATCCAATTATTTATTTTTATTCTTGATGACAATTTTGTAATTATGTATTAATCCATTACGTTGTATAGATTTTATACAATTTTCAATTTTTTAATTTTTACGTTTAGATGAAATATTGAAAAATAAAAACACAAATTAAAACGACAAATGTTTTTAAAATGAATTCAAAATAAACAATAAATCGTCAGTTTTTACTCTCGTTTGATTAATATTTTGTAAATTTAAATGAAAATTCTTCCAAAAGGATATTGAATTAAATATTTAATGAACATTATTATGGTTAACCAAATTGAAGGACACTTAACATTTTAATTGAGAATTTGTGTGAATTTTTAATTTTGAAAAATTAGAAGCTGTCACTTTCGTCAAGACAAACCTCTTATAAATGCACGGAAATGCTTAAAATCAAAAATAGCGTGCAACATCGAGGAAATGTTGAAATATTGTGTACTATTCACAGTAGTTTAAAACAACGTTACAAAGAGTGAGGTGCAACTACCATATATTTTATATCTACATATGTTTATATGTACGTACATAGATATATATATATATAATGTATATAAAGCTGATAACTAAAAATAATAAGACATAAACTAGCCATCTATAAGATGAGAATGTATAAGACGTTGTTTCCTGATTACGGTATACATTAGAAGACAAACAGAAGCAAACGCGAGCAACATTGGATTGGCAAAATGCACACGTCAAACCACGAACAACAATCATTAGAATAGAAGAACGCTAGCAAGCCACCATCGAACATGTGAAAATAAAACTTGCTGTATGTACGTTGAACGCGCGCCGACAGCCGAAATGAACGGGGAGTTCGAACAAACAACGAAATGATTCTTCTTCTACATAAAAATAAAGACATTGATGACTAAACTAAACAATAAGTAATATTTTGATAGCATTTGTTGATTGGTTACTATGTATTGCCACATCTGTTTTTAATGAAAATATTAAACTAAATAACTGCAATGAAAACGTATTTCAGCTAAAAAAAGACAACGACATAAAAGTTTCACACTAAATTTTAAAATTTGGACAGAATAAAATGTTTCACAAATACACAAAATTTTAAAAAATCACATAAAAATTAGAAAAATAATTTAATTAAAAAATGTGACAGACATGCAGAAAGAAAAAATGAGGTTTAACATAATCATGCATTATTATTAGTACAGCTAAACTCAGACGAATCCTGACGAACACGAAAACATGAAGCCAGACACAAAATCTTTCAAATATTCATAAACAAAGTAAGATTGATAAACCATAAATGAAAAATGATCCATCACGTCTTCAAGAGCTATAATTTTTCATGCAAATTCATTCAACCACCAACCATAATTCATCTATCTAGATCATCAAATTGACTGGAACCATCACCTACAAAAATATATAATGCAAAAATATTTTAAACATTTGATAGTACCCTAGTGTTTTTATTATAATTTATTCAACAAAATTTATAATGCACTAAATGGTGCTCAATAATCACATAATCAGTTCAGGCAGATAAATGTTACAAAACCACGAAGCAAACTCGTATGCTCACGACAAACCCCATTTTGTTGAAAGAACGAAGGACAGAAAGATAGAGGGACAGCAGACAGAGCGGAGTGGAGCACTGACATTCACTAGTTTACCACGGCACTACCGCTATTATAAACAACATACGACAGACACAAGTTGAGACATGCATCATGTGCTTGCTAGCTCGCTACCATTGTATGTATGCACGCACATGCACATTTATAACGATGACCATGTAATTCAGCATAACATCGCTGCTTTTTACAATGTCAAACTACATCAATCTACATAACGACATTTTATTCACAATTTAATATACCAGATATATAAATGAATGATTGACAAATGGTCTGAACCTTTACACAAAAATTATTAATTAAAATTTAATAAAATAAATATAAAATAATATCAACATTAAATCACGACGAACAAGTGAAACAATGCTGCATAAATATTAATTAACATTAAAGCACGCATACGTAATATCACATTCACACTGGTTCACATATCACCAACGACAATTTTTTTTCTTCAGTATTGTAAGAGCATATGAGAAAATGAAACGTTCAATCTTCACACGACGGAAGATTTTCTACTTTGAAGAAAAAAAATTAACGTGTTGTTTTTAATAAAAACATAAAAACAGCGAACGCTAACAAAAGTTATAAAGTCGAAAAGAAATGCTAAAACGGACGAACAAAGTTAAGTCAGTGATTCAATTAATGAATGTCGACCTTGTTTGTGAACATGCACGTGTAAGAACAATGGCGCCTATATAATCGAGCACATCCTCGCTCAATTAGTACATTAATTAAGACATTAGAACGTTGTCAAACGTTAATAAAATTATCAATGAAAACGAGGACAGATTGGAAGACGGAACCAAATCTATTAACAATAGAAAATACTGTAAAACTAAATCATTAAACAACCATTGATATTTAAAACAAAAAGCAGGTAAAACTAGTTTACTATGCGTTGGAAGAATACTGTGTAAAAAGTATTAATAAATATAGTACTACAAAGATCGTGAATCATAATTAAACAAAAATTTTTGAAAAAAAAAATTAAAAATCGTGAATTACAACGAAAGATAGATTAATTAAAATTTGAAAAAAGAAATTTCAACGTGGATAACGCAATTTAATTTAATAAATTAGCACCATGTACATACAAATAACTAACATCCATCCATTCAATCGGCAACAACAACAACACTACACAACAGCAGTCACCATGAGCAGCATGTTGCAAGCAAACTAACAAACGTTACGAACAGTTAAGATGTGGAATACAAACATACATACATACACACACATACATACTAACACACATACATACATACACACATAATAAACCTTATGTAAAAACCTTAACTACCGACTAATAACATATAAAAACATGCCATTAAAAATGTATGGGCAAGCAATTAATTAATACAGACACACGCATACGTACACACCGCGTCATAAGATATACAGTATATGTAGAAGTAATCCTGCAATTAATACAATTATCATTTGTATGCAATGATATGAATGGAGTAGTAACTTGTGAAGTAACGGTATTCTAGTGTAAGTTGAATACGTACACTATACAGCTTCAATTATTCACCAAACTAGTTGCTCAACTCCATCGTCCACTTCCAGTTAAAAAGATTAAAAACACGTTGTTGACTTGTCAAACAACTAAGTAATAAAAACATTTTGTAACTTACTAGCAAATCAATAAAAACATGCTGTAACTTATTAGCCAATTAATTAATTAACTAATTAATTAATTAATAAAAACATGTTTCTACTTAACCAACCAATTTTTAGTATGTTGTAACTTACTAGCCAATAAATAAATAAATAAATTAATTAATCAGTCAATCGATCAATAAAAACATGATGTAACTTACCAACCAGTTAATAAAAACATGATGTAACTTACCAACCGGTTAATTAATTAATTAACTAATTAAAACATGATGTAACTTACCAACTGGTTAATCAATTAATTAATAAAAACATGTTGCAACTTACCATTCAGTTAATAAAAAAACGATGTAACTTAAGTTAATAAAAACATGATGTAATTAGCAGTTGATGAATGCACGATGTACATGCCGATGATTTATAATATATAACAGTGGATATAATATAGATATGTTGTAAATGCATTACTCCAAAGTAGCAATTGATCGTATAAATAGTTGGTCTCGTCTAGCTTCAGGTCTCTTTATGGGCCTCAATATATTTCTATACAAAACAGTTCACATCAATCAATCATTCAATCAAAATTCATTCAACCTACTAACCATTAAGTCAGTCAGTCAGTCAGTCAGTCAGTCAGTCAGTCAGTCAGTCAGTCAGTCAGTCAGTCAGTCAGTCAGTCAGTCAGTCAGTCAGTCAGTCAATCCTTCAGTTAGTCACTCAGATCAGATAGCAGGTCTCTCTCTTGGATATCTGAGATTAGGAAATATAACAATTCCCCAGTCTGCAAACCAGTCACTATTGCAGGGGCCCGAGCTTGAATAGGTGTACATCCATCCAAGAAACAAAACTGCAGCCGAAAGTGGCACTCCTACCTTCAATATGTTCCTCATGACTTTGACCACACCACTGTTCCCTTCTTGTATAGGAGTGCTACATACTGCCGTCGGAACTCCTGTTTGTCTGTCAGTGCTGTTGGGATCTGACGCTCTCTCCTTGACCAAACTTTCGTCAATTGATGGGCCGCTACAATTTGCAACATAACAATTAATTGAGACAACTCAATTAAATTTGGCAACATACGTAGAAATAGAGATGTGCATGGTAACTTAGTGAGTTAATTACTTACTGCTGTTGCTGGTTGACATTATCGGACAGCACACTGGCACCAAGACTTGAACATTTGTTTGATATGAGCTTCTCAATGACGGATGAACTCTGTAGCTGTAGTTCTTTGTACCTTCCATCAATTTTCTCCAGATCACTCTTGATCAGTTTCAATATTTTCTTCATCGGTACGTGTTGACAGATTGAGGTATTGAGCTGGTACATCTCTGAGACCTTCACTCTCAAATCAATCCACCCACCTTTCATCTTAATAACAATAAAAAAACATAAATTTTTTTCAGATATTTTTGTTACGTAAAATACCTTATCACATTAAAAACTACATGTTACCATTCTGACAACACACCATATCAAAATATTGCAGTACATTTTTCTAACAATAAAAAAACCAAACAAAATCATAAAGCTTATTTAATGAAAAGAAGCAAGAAAGCAAGTGATACCAACTTCGCTTGACAACAACTGAACAAGAGCAGGACCACTGTTCTCATAGTCGACACTTTGCAGACATTGCTGCGACTGATCCAACGATGTTGTGATCAGTCTCTTCAATTCAATGAACTTGTTACATGGCTCAACAGCCGATAAGAGGGACATAACTGTTCTTGTTGCCCTGTTCATTCATTCATCGCTTGGATCTTATAATGCTACAAACATTCATGAACATTCACACCACTGTCTTAAGTACAGGTTCATCAGGCACTATTGAAATGATTTTTTAAAGCTGTTGTAAAATTTTAAGCTCTTCATTGACAGCCCAAAATATTTTATGGTCTTTCAAAATGATTCTAAATGCAAATCGACACTCAGCTTGTGCAAGACAAATTGTGCAAGACACTCTCCAAAATATAAGCCAACCACAGATATTTGGAAAATTACTTGGACTTATCAACTTTTATAAGCTATTTTAAAATACAGCATAGCATTAAATTTCATTAGTTCATTTACTTAAGCCAGCGTTTAACTAAACCTTCTATGACATGCAAAAAGTATATAAAAATTAATAAATTAAATACAAAATGCTATATATAAATATATGTATAAAAGAAAAGAGATTAACCACTTCATGTATTTATTTGAAAAAAAGCATGATCTAACTTTTCCAAGCTAATTTCACAGATATTGTTTAACTTCCCAATTTTTTCAAACACATTTCCTTCATCACAATAATTTTTTTCACATAACTTGTTTGACACTGGCTGGCAATTTCTCTTCAAGAGTTGGCCGAATCTTTCTTTCAATGCAAACAGATGATCTTTCTCAGCCTGTTACAAAAATCATTATTTTTATTTAAAATTTAGCGCATTTTGTCAATTTTGTACAAAATTGATAGGCTATAAGGAAGGATTAATAAAAGATTATACTGACAAAGCCGATATAGACAATATAACAAACAATAATAACCTTATAAGCCTTAATCGTTTCAACAAGTATCTGAAGAGCAGTACCACTTTCATCGTCATCCTCCTCATCATCATCACCGTGATCACCACCATCAGCAAGTCCTTCAGTCATGATTGCACACTCTTTTGTGTCAAACATCTGCAACAGAAGCATGGATCTACTTAAATCTTTTTCCAGCTTCAAAGTTTCAGAGTATATGAGGCTGCAAGCATGCTGCTGCCGTTGGCATATGTACATCTTCAAATCTGACCACTTCTTCAGCATCCCTGCTGGTCCAGTTATAATAATAAATTACAATATAACATGCAATAATAGAAGTATAATATACCATAAAAATAAGAAAGCAAACACGGACAACCCGATTTATTAATTTATTACATATTCGATAATAATCATTACAAGATATTTAATGAGCAATTTCATGAACTCCATAAAAACAAATAAACAAAAAAATGCGTTAGTAAATAATATAAAATATAAAAAACCCAAATGAGAGAGAAAAAATGCAACAACAAACCTTCAACAATTTTTATTTGTTGTTCATAAAAAAAGCAGGCACTATTGCTGCGAGTGAGAGCTGCTTTTAAATCTTGCAAACACATCAGACTGGTTTCGCACGTTGCTAGTGGTTCCATCTGTTCATCAATTGGAAAAATTTTAAATAATTTTCCAGTAATTTTTTCATAACTTTACAAAAGTTCTATATTGTATGTGCTATTCAAATTCAAATACGTTTATTCATTAAATTAAACCAAAAAATATTATTCATGAAATGAGATAATCTGAAGACAGAAAAGTTAATTTCTTTTTCTTGTACAGCCCACCATTTCAAAATACAAAAGCTAGGAAATCCTGATTAAAATGAACCATCAAAACATTGTGAAGTCCGTGCTTGTTTGTGTGTGTGGCCACCAATTACAACCATGTTATATAAACTTGCAGCTTGAATTCTTTATAAATTACCGCAACACAAACTACACAAAAAATAGATGAGTGATTCAGTTTGTAATATTTATCTCCAACTATTTTATCAGTAGTATTAATACAACGCCAACTTTTTATGTGCTATTTTGCTTTTCAAATAAACAAAATTTAAATTAAAAAAGGAATAATAACCTTCCTGAAATACATAAATTTAAAGTTGTAAAAGTTTTTCAGGACCATCTGCCAAGTGCAACCACATATTTAAATGAAGCAAAGAATTACAAACCAGCTTGTTTGGATCAGGGGTTTGTTGAGGATTAGCTGCCCATGTATCAGCGATGTCTTGAACAACTTGCTGAGTGTAAGTGAAGGCTCTGTTATGATCTTCCAGTGTAGCCTTGAACTCCTCAGCCTCTGAGTCAGATTCCGTCAGGTAATCACAGAACGGCAGTTGTCGGCTAGCTATTCGAGACTGGTGACTCTATTTTGAGGTCATCATTTTGTATAAAAATTATTTAAGCAATTTCTAAAATAATTTATACCACGAGTGTAGAACAAATATTCTATGACAAGATATTTTATGGCCCATGGCAGAATTAAAAACAATTTTAAAAACAAAAAATTAAAATACATTAGTTTACAAAAAAATAACTAGATTTTTGAGGAACAAACACAAAATGTTTCAAGTGATTTATTGAGGTGTGAAAAGTTTAAAACACAACATCGTACAGTTGCTCCTTTCTTTAGAGTATTTAGATCAAAAAATTGCGTTGGAACACTGTATTTCAGATACAAAGATATAAAGGAGGGGAAAGATTACAAGCTTCTAGTATGAACAAATCATTGTGAATGTATGTAATTTTCTGTGAAAAAATCAACTTTCATAATAAAATAATACTATTATTTATGTTTCAATTCCACTACACACGCGCCAATACAGAGCATATCATATAGTTAACAGGATGGCCTATATTCATGTAATTTGTTACTAAAAATGCGAAATTGTCAGACATTAATTATTTAGTTGGTGTTTTGCTTAACATGAACTCTGTGTTGTCTGCAACCAAAGTGTAGCAAATATAGCAAGTAGAAATGACATGACTGCTTCAAAAAAGAATGGAGCACACTGACCTTGGGAGTTGAAGAATGTTTATTGACTTTATAGTAATATCTGTCAAAGATATTATCTTTCAACCATATGTCCACATTGCTCTTGAAGCTTGTGTCTTCCACTTCAACATCCGTAAGTTCAAACTATGAATACATCAACAATGAGCTACCATTAAGACAAAATATAATGTGCATACCAGAGTGGTGAATCAGAGTGAATTATCTATCAAAAATCTTTAAAAATTTACAAATGTAAGTGTTTAAGGTAAAAAATAAACAGACTTCGGACTGGAGACTGCTGATTTCATCGGCTGTATTTGACATCAATTCATCATCTGGCACACGCTGGTCTGAACCTTTATTTATATATATCCAATAATTCAATTTTTTAACAAATAATTATTCCTCATCAATTCCTATCAACGTCATTATGATCAGCTGCATAGATTTAGAGCAAAATCTAACGTATTTGAAACAAAATGTTAGACAAAGTAATCTTCTGGTAACTTAAAAAAAAAATAATGTTAATTAATGGTCAATAGTCTCTAGATTTCTGATAACGCCTCGTGTACTACCTTGAACGTTGTTGGTCCTCTGTTGGAGATCAACTACTAATTGCTCATCTTCTTCGTTCTCATCAACATCATAATGCCTCAGATTCAAGTTCAAACCTTCAAAAGACATTATCTTTCTTATTTTGTGATAAGATTTTTCTGATTTGAACTTTCTAGCCAGTTGACCTAGTTAAAAAAAATACAACAGTTTGTAGCTCAAGTTTATTTTTCTTTAATTGACATAACAATCTTTATAAAAATGTTAAATCTTTATAAAATATTTAATGTAAATAAAATATCAATTTATTTATTTCTAAACTTTAAAAAAACGAAAATATTCAAAGCAATATTAATAACTGAAACAAACCATCTGACAAAGAAAGATTGTCATTATTGTTTAATGCTCTTTTCCTAGCTAACTTGATTGGACTTGCAAAAACAGCTTGCTTTTGTTTATATTTCCTTAGTGAAATCTTGTCAGATGGACTTTCAAAGGAGGCATCTCCAGGGGACTCCTCATTGAGATGGAGTCTTGTTTTGTGTTTGTTCCACCTGGTCAGGGTGTCTGGTATGTGAAACTTTGTGATGTTACTATCAGTACTCTTCAACACTTCTCCGTCACTCACTGATCCGTCTCTAACAAGATTCTTCAAGTTCCTTTCCTCATAGCAAGTCAACATGTCCATGCTTTTACTGTAGATGGTAGAGTAATCATTAGATGTAACCACATTTTTGACCTCATCATTTGAAAATTCATCTTCAGTTGCTGGAACACTGCTGTCATAATTTGTAAATACTTTGTTGACTAAAATGCCAATGCTATCTCCACTGCTACCTACACTTCCACTGATCAGCTGGTCCGAATTTGTGGCTGCCTCACTTCTGCTCATACAGCTACCAGTAGTTGCTGAAATGCCGACACCACTACTATCACTCATGTCGGAGCCCATGTTACATTCATTTGTCTTCATCTTACTCACATTCCTATTTCCTTCATCGAAAGAACTTCTAACCAGTCCAGAGGTGTGCAAACGTAGATCAATAGGCGATTGCAGTCCATCACTTGAGTAGCCCACATCACCATCATGAGTCAGTTGGTGTCTCTTCATTTTCTTCAATACATCTGCCACTACTCCATTCACATCTGCTGCATCAGATTGTAGATCTTGATCCTTCTCTTCTTCAATCATTGACAGGCAATTGTTACTTCCAAATGTATCCAAATTGCCGTCTGTTGTATCATCTGTTGCATCATCTGAATCATCTGCATGATATTCTGCAAGCTGGAATTAAATTGAAGAATAAAAATGATGTGTCAAGCAAAATCGTATTTCAAAAACATTCACAGCAAAATTTGCCCCAAAAACTTATATGCAAGCTTCATTAACTACAGAGCATAAAACTTAATTTATTTTAAAGAACAGAATTTGATATTTAAATTTTCTTCACAGATTAACCATTGCATCACCAGATTCAACGAATTATTTAAACATTAAACCAAAGATACCTATAACAATTAGGGATGCACCGAAGTTCGGCCCCGGCTCCGGCCCCGGCCAAAATCCGGCATTTTTTCAAATCCGGTCGAATCCGGCCCCGGCCGGATTTGGTGGCCGGATTTAGGGCCAGATTTAAGCGTCTATCTATTTTAAAAATGTTAGAAATAGAAAAAAAAATTTTATTGAATTCAATTAATTTTATGTCAATAAGTTAAAGGCTAAGGCTAAGCTAAAGGCATACATGACACATAATAACAACATCACTAATTGTGAGGTAATCTGGACAATTTTCTTTATGCTATAACATGGGTTATGCATAAATTATAAGCTGATCTTTGTGTAAAAGAACTTGTGCACATGTATATACTATATATTGATAATTGCACATGACGGACCATAGAGCTACATAATATATATATATATATCTATATATATATATATATATATCTATATATATATATATATATTTAGAGAGAGAGATACATAAGCACATAATTTAAGAACATGGTATGTTAAAGGTTAGGCTAGGTATACATGACAAATAATTACAACATCACTAATTGTGCGGTGAGCTGGACAATTTTCTTTGTGCTTTAACTTGGGTTATGCAAATATGCATAAATTATAAGCTGATCTTTGTGTACAGAATTTGGCGTATCACACAACTTATTTATATATTTGAATTATATAACTATTTGCTTGGTGTTATTTTTTGATGTTCAACATGTAGATAACCGTAAATGTGAGTATTTTTTCTAACGTATTATAAAATGGTAACTAAAATCCGGCCCCAGCTCCGGCCGGTTTTTGAATTTTAAATCCGGCTAAGTCCGGCCCTGGCCGGATTTGAAAAACCTGAATCCGGTGCATCCCTAATAATATACTTACCAAACCCAATATATCTATTAAGTCTCTGTAAATTGAATTACTATATAACTAAAAGCATTCTAAAACTAAACCTTCACAAAAAAATTTAAACATCATTAAAGAAAATGTGCAGAGCAATGAAGTAAGCAAACTTTGCAAATCCTGAGATTGCCTTCAATCCTCAACTGCCACTCCAGACAGCTGATGTACACTGCCTCCCATCTGTGCTGCAACATGCCTGCCTTCCTTTTCACTCCATTCACTCTTTCCTCAAAAATTGAGGATCCAAGTTTGAGTTGGACAGAAGAGCAAGAACCACTTGAAGTTTTTGCATTGCCGGCCAGCAAATTTTCACACATTTGCGAGATAGATGTCACAAATTTTGACTTTGATTGAACTTCTCTTTGTAAATTCTACAAAAAACAACAGAACAGTTAAAATAAGTTGTATGTCACTGCAATGTGTGAATAATGAAAAAATAATAAAGAATATTCACTGTGATGAATTGCTGGGAAGCATTTTTATTTTCTATGTCTTTCTTTGACATATTCATCTCTTCTTCTATTTTGATGATCCAGTTTTCAAAATTTTGAAGATCTTGTTCGATATCTTAAAATGAACAAACATGTTATCATTGTATCTGGCAGTTATATCCTAAACAGAATGTTTCAAAAAAAAAAAATGAAAACTACACAAATGCAGAAAGTTTTCAATCAGTATCAACTGTAGATAGATACTGAGCATATTCAAATCTATGGACTTCACACAAAGAACATGAAACAGAAATGAATCAAGCTACCGGTCTCAGAATATAAGGGCAAAAACTATTAGTAGTTTTTATTGTATCTATTTACCACAATCAGTTTAAAATATTTTTAGAAAAAAAATTATAATTTTCAATCAACTAAATAATTTAAAAGAATTGTATGAAACCTTCAATGACGAAAAGAGGATTTCCCAACTTGGCTGGCACAACATCCTTCTCAAGTTCCATCCACAATTGGTCGACACGGTTGCACATTGCCAAGATATCATTCCGCTTATTGGGGTAATGAACAATCAGTTGCCTTGAATACTCTTGAAATTGTGTTCTGCGAGTCAGACGATGCAACAATTCTTCATGATAGGCCTACGTTAAATTCAAATATATATTAGATCTTTGAGCATTTTGTTGAAATAATCAAATATTTATGACAAATGACAAAATTATGCATGTATTTCTGTATTTTGCAGACCTGATTAAGATATTTTTCAGAATTGCAGCAATTGACTTGGTTCTGGTTGATATTCTCATGCATGTTAGTCAGCCAAGTGATTAACTCCTGGTACTGCCTCACAAATTCATTGTAACTTATCGCATTGCTTTCACTGCTCACCTCATCAGAATCAAATGCCGAAAATTCATTTTCTGTCAACTGGCAGAGATTAATTACTATTAGTCAATTAACTTTATAATACGTGGAAAAAATTTAAATATATTCAATTTAAAATCAATAACACTCAAAAAATGAAAAAACTAAATATTTTTTGAAATGAAATCAATCAATCAATCGATCCTCGTCCATAGTCTCCATCCGTTATGGGTCGGACTTTGAGATGAAAGAAAGAATATAATAAATGAATAAATTTAAAATTTTCTAAATCTGTTAACCCAAAATTTTTGTTAATGATTTGGTGAATGCTTGTAATTGTTACATGTAAATAATATATAAAAAAAACGAAACTATACATTTGAAATAAAATAGAAAAAACCTTGCATGAATCCATGATATTTTCAGACATCATGTATTTGTAGTTCTTACGTATGGCATCCTTGAACTCTCGTTTGTACTTTCTTCTCAATTCGTTGAGAGGGTAGCAGAAAGATCCCAAATGTGATGGTGAGTCACCTTTAGCATATTCACTAGTAGAGTCATCAAATGATGTGATGCTGCTCATGTCACTGGACTCGTGAATCGACGAAGCGTTTGACTGGGAGAGAGAATCACTCATTAAGTCCCTGACACACTTTTTTACATGTTTATTATGTGGCTTTGATGATTGTTCAACTGGGACCTTGGTATTTTGGGGTGATGGAAGAAGAGAAGTAGCGAGAGACTTTGCGCTGGACATTTTTTAGAAATGTTTGTTTCAGAATCCCTAGTCATAAAAAGTGATTACATACATAAATTCGAAATCCAGGGAAGAAACATCATTTGTGCACTCTATTGCAGTACTGAAAGGATTTATAAAAATAATTAATTTAATTAATCGAAGGCATTCATTTAAACACATTATTAAAAGCATGGCGTAAGTATACATAATTATATATAAGTAAAATTAGGTAACAAATTATTTATTATATATATATATATGTCTTTATATTACTAAAATTAGTCTTATTATGAGTAAAAGAAATAATTAACATTGTTTAACTTATTATTTAATAATTTTCTATGTTCTAAGTTTTCTTGGTAACACTCAATTACAAATCAAAATACCGTTATTTATGATAATTAAAATTCATTCAAATAATAATAAACCAATGCAATTTTTTAAACATTTATTCATTAGACAATACAATCAGAATCAGAAATAACTATGTTAAATTATTAAATTATACTATATAATAGTGATATGCAGGAAAATTTTTAATATAGGTATTAATTATACATGAAGCAGAACTGTTAATAAATTTAATGTCATAAATATAGTATATAAATTATAAATATAATATCATAACATAAATAGATAGTACAATATTCTTCATAAGAAGGCTTTAACCTTATGTCATCAACCTGGGGTGTATCACATCCCAGAGGGTATAAATAATTCTGTATCTCAGATATTTGAACAAATTAAATTATATACCTTTGTGACATCTTATAACCTTCCTTCACCTAGAATATGGCAAAATCTGGCTTAATTCAAATATTTGGTTTTGAGTATGTGAGCGTTTGAAGTGTCTTACGGCATATTTTGTCAACCTGGGGTGTCCTACACCCCAATAGTCTTGAAGTCATCTAAACTAAAATTAGTATTGCAATAATGAAATAATAATAATAAATAAGAAATAATAATAATAAATGTTACAGCATCAATATAATCATAGATAATTACTTCACTTCATGTAGTCTAGCCCAGTGCTTCTCAAAGTGGTGGTCCGCGAGGTTCCAAAAATTTTGAAAATTAATCAGAAAATTCATAGCTTGGACAGCAACGCAATTGCGAAAGTCATTGTTATTACTAGTAAATGAGTTTAAAGGTAAGCAAGTTCACGAATGCATATGCATGACTATAATTAATATTCAATGTGATAACGCGAAAGGACGCGTGACCAATTAACTATCGGATCCAGCTTAAATATTCAATCTTTCTTTATCAGCTATTTGCACATGTTCAGAGTAAAATTGATAAAAACCCGGTAAAACTAGGAGTTAACAACGTTATTGCTAAATTAAAATATATTTGTAATTTTGAAATTTATATATAAATTGAATAACTCATTTTGCAATTTATTAAATTTTATTCAAATTAATATATAAAGTTGCTAGAACTGTTGTCAGGTTGGTTCAGATTTTTTTTAATATTTTCATTTTATTTTGATGTTATCAAGACCGCTAATTTGTTTTCTTGAAAGTAAAAGTTTATTTTATTCAAAAATAACTACTTTAGGCATGGCGAAACAAGGCCCAATAGACAAATTTTTGAAAAGGAAACGTCAGGAAGAGAATTTGATATATGAAAGTAGTGACGATTCTTCAATTTCAGACAATGAAAATGGCATCGTAAAGGCAATTGGTATTGAAACGTGTGCAACAAAACGTATTAGAACTAGCTTCATTCGAAAGTACGATGAATCATACATTCAATTTGGCTTCATGCCAATGGACGATGGAACAGAGTTGAAACCGCAGTGTGTTATTTGCAGCGAGGTTTTGTCGAACGTAGCAATGAAGCCATCAAAATTAAAAAGACATTTAAATACAAAACACAAAGACATTTAGCTAAAACCAAAAGAATATTTTGAGAGAAAACGCATTGATCTGAAGAGTCGCCAAAAACAAATGTTTTGTATTTCCCATATAAACACGTGTGCGCTACGAGCTTCATATAAAGTAGCTCTACGAATTGCCAAAGCGAAAAAGGTATTCACAATTGGTGAAACGTTAATAAAAGATTGCATCAAAGATGTCTGTTTTGAGATGCTGGGTGAGCAGGCTTCAAAAAAAATAGACCAGATGCCACTTTCAAACAGTACTATTGGTCGACGCATTAGCGATATGGCAGAAGACATTGAAGAGCAGCTAGTTGAACAAATGAAACTTGCAAAGTATTATTCTTTGCAGCTGGATGAAAGCACAGATGTGGCCAATATGGCTATTTTGTTAGTTTATGTTCGTTTTGAATACGAAGGAGATTTAAAGGAGGAATTTTTCTTTTCAGCATCACTCCCAACAAATACAACAAATTCTGAAGTATTCAAAACTGTCAGTGAATATATCATTGGTAAAGGAAAAGATTTAAAATATTGTGTTGGTGTCTGTTCAGATGGTGCTGCAGCAATGACTGGACGTTATTCTGGTGTTGTAACTAAAATTAAAGCAATAGCACCGGAGTGTAAAGCAACACATTGTTGCATTTACCGAGAAAGTTTAGCAGTGAAGAAAATGTCAGATGAACTGAATAATGTGCTCAGCGAAGTAGTCAAAATAGTAAATTATGTGAAAGCAAATGCACTAAATTCAAGACTTTTTGCCAGATTATGTAAAGAAATGGGGGCTGATCATAAACATCTATTGCTACACACTGAAGTGCGTTGGCTATCCAGAGGAAAGGTTCTTGCAAGAGTATTTGAATTAAAAAATGAACTAGCAGAGTTTCTGCAGGTTAAAAAGCCCATCTGGTCAGAATTACTTATGAATATCAATTGGCTCGCAAAATTGGCTTATTTGTCAGACATATTTGCATTATTAAATGATCACAATATTTCAATCCAAGGGAAAATGGCGACTGTTTTCACAATGGCTGATAAAATTGAAGGACAAAAAAGAAAGCTAAAATCTTGGATAAAAAGATTGGAAAAAGAATGTTTCGAAATGTTTTTTAATTTAGCTACAGTCATTGATGAAGCAGGCAAAGGATTTGACATCAAAAGTTTGAAAACCTTAATCATTGAGCATCTGTCCAGCTTATCTGAACGGTTTGAATTTTATTTTCCTACGGAGGATGACCCACGAATAGGAAAGACATGGATCAGAAATCCTTTTGTTGAACATAAGAAAAATTTGACTGTTAAGTTGGAAGATAAAATTTTGGAGCTTGCTGCTGACCAAGGCCTAAAAATGAAGTTTGAAAATACATCATCTCTTTCCTCTTTCTGGATCATCATCAAGTCGGAATACCCAGAGCTCACTGACGAAGCAATAAAAACCCTTCTTCCTTTCCCTTCTACTTATTTATGCGAAGTTGGATTTTCATGTTTGACTGCAATGAAAACAAAATACAGAAACTGTTTGGAAGTTTATTCTCCGCTACGTGTGGCACTGTCTTCGTTTCAGCCACGTCTTGAGGAATTAATAAATAGAAAACAAGCTCATTTATCTCACTAATTTTTTACAACAATTTTTATTTTCTAATGTTGAAATATTTTTTATTGTTATTTCATTTTGAATAAAGTTATACAAAAAAAGATTCAAATTTTGTAAAATTGATAACACTTCGCATATATATATATATATATATATATATATATATTCTGCAAGCTGGGTGGCGGTCCGCGACGTTCCTGTTAAATTCGTTGCCGGTCCGCCGAACCAAAAAGTTCGAGAAGCACTGGTCTAGCTGAAGATCTTTTGACCGTGAAAACTACCATTGTTGGAACAATGCGAAAAAATAAGCAAGATATACCAAAAGAATTACTTCCTAATCAATCAAGGGAAGAATTGTCATCAATATTTTGTTTTGACAATCAATTAACATTGACCAGCTATGTTCCTAAAAAAGGGAAAGCAGTAATTCTGCTCTCGAGCATGCATCATGATGCTGCAGTTGATGTTGACAACAACAAACCAGACATTATTGATCATTACAATAAAACAAAATCAGGAGTATACAATCTCGATCACCTAGTTGGACTGTACAGCTGCAAACGATAAATTAGCAGATGGCCAATGACACTCTTCTTTAACGTCATTGATGTTGCTTGTGTTGCAGCATATGTTGTTTGGATAGCAAAAAATCCACAATGGAATGAAAAAAAGATGCACAAACGAAGATTATTTTTACAAAATCTTTCTGAAGAGCTGGTAGAAGAACACCTTCAACGACGAAGTGAAAATCCGTTTGTTATGCAGAAGCAAGTGAAGCTGGCATTCAAAGCAATGGGTTTTCAACCAGCCATAGCAGTTCAGGCAGAGCAACCAGAATCTTCAGGACAGAAGAGATGTGGCATTTGCCCACGCTCATCAGATCGGAAAACCAAAAGCCGATGTTCATCATGCGGTATACCATGTTGTCAAAATCACAGCCGTCTGGTTTGTGAAACCTGTACTGATGCTTAAAACGACAAATAAACTATAAAACATTGTTGCTAATTAATCAATATTTTACAGTTGCCTCAAATAATTAACTTAGGTAAGACTATTGTGAAAAGTTATAATATAACATTGTTTTATATATATATATATATATATATTACAATTTATTATAAACAAAAACATTGTATTTTTTATCAGTTTCATATTATCTTCAATAAAATACTTACAAAACATTATTCCATCATGTTTGAACCTGGGGTGTAGGACACCCCAGGTTGACAGAATGTGTTGCAATATAGGGTTGACTACATAGGGTTAACCAACAGACTAAAAAATTGAAAAGCACTCAAAATATATTAAATTAAAACACTGGCAAACATTTCACATTAAACATCACCACAGCATTAACGCTGATTAAAAATTAATATTAATTAAATTAAAATAAAATTAATTAAAGCTTAAAAATCAAAAATTCTCATTTAAAAAATTCCATATTTATCAGATCAGATTGAACATAATGACAAGCAATAAGAATGAATTTGAATGAGAGGGTAGAAAAGAAAGTAAAGATTTTATTTTTGAAAAACTGAACAAAAAATAAATAAAAAAAAATAAACAAGAAATAAATAATAGTTATTTATTTAATTAATAACCATAACGTCCATAACCAAGGAAAGAAAAAGTAACAAAAGCGGTCGGAGCGTAACATGTATTCCGTAAATTTATTTTATGAAAACAATTTAGAAATAAAAAAAAAAAGATTATTCACTACAATTGAAATGAACGGAGAATAAGCATTAACACTAACCCTAACTCGATTTTTTTGTGTTGTTTGCATTTTAATATCGCACCTTCACGAACGATTATGGCGCAAAGCGGAACTAGCTATTTTCAAAAACACTAAAAAATACGAACCTTAAACTTTCAATTGATCAAGACTGAAAAACAACACATATTTAGAATACTTAGAATCATTCATGTAGAATTTTTTCTATAAGTGCTTAGAACGTATGAATAGAATTATTAGAATGACCAGATGGCATGATGGCTAGTGAGTGGTTAAGGAGGCTGGGGCTATTTCGCAGTGCGTGCTGTGACTGTGACCGAAATTTGACGAAAAGATCCCCGCCTGAGTGTAAGAGTGTAACAGACCTTTAACCTTTTTAACTTTTTAATAAGATTGGGCAATGTGCTTAGTAGCATTCATACCCGATTCTGAATACGAATATGTGCATAGCAAAGTGTTAAATTCTCAAATTTGACACAATGAAGTCAAACAAGTATATTAAAAATTTTTATTTCAAACAGAATTTGGAAAATTTGGAAAAAATTGCCAACCCAAGTGGTCGAAACATCCAATCTCATTTTAAAATGAGATTGGATGTTTATATGAAAAGTTTCCTTTTGTGTATGATCCTACGATGTTGTAGTTTGTAAATGTAAACGCTTCTTCTTTAAATGTATAATTTCCAATTTATATTTCCATTTTATAGATGGTCAATAATTATTTTATAGCGTTATGATATTTTGAACAGGGTCATATGGACTTTTGATGTTGAGCCCACTATTTTTATGTTATGTAATGTAATATTATGTTATGTTGTGCTGTGTTATGTCATATCATGTCATGTTATGTTAGGTTAGGTTAGGTTAGGTTAGGTTAGGTTAGGTTAGGTTAGGTTAGGTTAGGTTAGGTTAGGTTAGGTTAGGTTACGTTAGGTTAGGTTAGGTTACGTTAGGTTAGGTTAGGTTACGTTAGGTTAGGTTAGGTTAGGTTACGTTATGTTAGGTACACAAAATCACTTCTAAGTTGTAGAACTAAATCATTATTAAGCTTTGTTTATAAATTTATGAATAATTTAAAAAAATATTTCAAGTTTTATTTCAAAATGCAGCAAAATTAAATAATAAATAAGTTAACAGCAAAATATTCAAGCTTAGTTAAAAACGCGCGCACAACCGTTTGTCAAATTAGTTTGCTCAATATGCTAAATTCTCGTCCCCATTCCTTTTGCGACATTATAAATTGCTGTTTGTTGCATCAGCGCTCTTTTTTGTTCGTCAGTTGTTGGGGCGCTGGCTTCTTGGCCGGCTAGCAGCACGGCTATTCCAAAAGACACCACTGCGATTGTTTAAAAAGTTCTACTATGACATTTTTAAAAAACAATGGCAAATAAAATAATTATGCTTTTTTGCACACAAAAATTTATGAGCCCTGAATAATGAATATATTAAAGCAAATCAAACTTACACTGAGCAAGTGCAGCCACACCAAACAATATAGCAGAGATAAGAAAAAGCATATAATACCACCACCTGACCGGTTCCAAGCATCCAGTTTGAATTGGTACCAACCTACCCAGATCCTGTTTGAAAATTTATATTTTATATATTAAACTAAATCTTAAAAAATTTATTTGCAATGTCAAACAAATAGTTTATATACATAGTGTGCAACTGAAACCTAACCCTATAATCAACTTCTGAAATGCAGGTAACCCCACGCAGCTCAGCTTCCACCTTATCACAGCAAGCAGATGGAAAGCCAGTTAAATGCTCAGACATGCTGATTTTCCAGTCAACCTTGAACCATTCAGAATAATGAAAGTTACCGCAACATGCATAACGCCTCTGGATGTAATCAATCAGATTTTTAACACTTTCATCAGTTCTATATTTCCGCATCGCTTGAAAGAACCCATTCTTAAGTAAGTATATAATGCAATTTGAATGAAAAAGCAAACTTTTAAACATTCACTAGGTAAAGCTTCAAATTATTGAAAGTAAACTTTTTACATCAAAAACGTAATTGGTTCCAAAAGTTGTATAAAACAAAACGACGCAGCAGCAAACCATCTTTGTGAGAAGCGCCAAATCTAAAATAAGATAACCGTAGATAGCAGTTTTGATGTAGGGGCGAACCTCTAAATCAGAGTTCAAAGAAATAATAAAAATTCCAAAACAACTTGCCGCTGTAGACATTGCGCCAAACATCATTATGTAAAATGAATACTCGCCATCATCATAATCTGTAAAGAGAGTTTTCATGTTTTCATATTGCAAATATATTGTGAGATGACAAATTATAATCAATATGCACGATAAGCAGACAATTATTTTAAAAACGATCGCCATAAGCGACTTTGAATCCATTTCCTTTTTCATTTTAACAAGTAGTTAGTTCTCTTGATAGAGAAAAATTACGGTATTCTTTTAAAATAGTTTTAAAAATATATTCAATTTACAATCGACGTCATATATTTTGTTGTGCATATAACATCTATGTTAAAAATACTTTCAACATTGAATTTTAAGATGGCGAACTCTCCGATGAACATTCCCACATGAACAGTGCAGTTTTAGTGGGCACAATTTCAATGAACTGATTGATAAGTGTTTATCTTCGTTAATAGTTTTTTTGCACTGGAGTTTAACAAAATCTATGGGCAATATTTACAACAGGCAAAGATAAATTTATTTCATTTCAATTATTTTTAAATTTATAATTTTACCTACATTAGAAAAGCAGACTAACCCTGTGAGACCAAAATTAAAAAGCGGAACGAAAATGCCTTGGGCGATTAACTCCTATTGTTTGACTAAAAGTAGGACTAACAAATATTTTTTAAACAAACTAGGGCCGAATTAAACCTTTGCCAGGCCCTGTACAAAATGTCAAATACGGGCTCTCATTTTCGACAACAAATTATGCTGCTGAGTAAAATCAAGATTACACAAAACGTCGGTTACAGTTCGAATTATTTGACGTTTTGTCAATAAAATATAGTTATTCTTGTTATTCAGTTTTACAAATTACACAATTTTTCAAGTCGGAAACATTGTATTACACATAGAACCCGAGTTTGGCTAATTGACTTGATTTGTGTCATTGTATAAATAGCCGTTATAAAAGCATTTGCTCGAAGAGTAGCTATAGTACTCCCATTGTTTCCAAAAAGAGCATCCGGATATTCATTACATTAAATAACAAAAACAATTATACAAAAAATTAAACTAACATCCTTTGATATGCAAAAAATACGTAAAATTCATCATAAAATTTTAATTCAGTCATTAAAATATGACTATCAATAAAGTTCTCAAAAATTTACACTTTTTTGCTTAATAACAGCAAACAAAACCCGCATTCAACGGCTTTAATAAGATTGTTAGTTTTCAAGACCTTTGAGTAACTATTCTTCAAATAATTTGCTAAGGTTCTCAACAAATCCAAAAAAGAATATCACAGACAATGAGAGAATATGGCAACCTCTTTCATATTTTCTTTAACAATTTTTCTTAACTTTTTTAGAACATGAGTTATTTTCATTAACATTCTCACTATGATGGTAATAAGAAATGAAAAACAATGTTCGTGACGTTTTATCAGAATGTATTGAATGACCTATCAAATGCTTTTGAATTACTAGCATGCTAGAGCACAACACCATTAATGTGCATTACATTACTTATCGTGGATTTTTCAATCAATCAATTATTTGTAAGAGCATCTAAATGTATTCTTTTATTGCTCCAGAAATTATAACAGCAAGTCAAGCTTTCCGCTTCTCTCCCAAGTTTTTACTTTTCTTAAACATTCTGAACTGTTTTTGATGATTGTCTTTTCTTAAACATTCTGAAATGTTTTTGATGATTGTCTATTAAATTTTACTGTTTATGAACTACCACGATTTCGCGTAATTCCATTAAGAATGTAGTCGGTCTATTTTCTTCGTGAAAGCAACACGAATGAAACAACTTTACATTGCAAAACAGTTTAATTAAAATGTCAATATTCAAATAGAAAAATTGATAAGTTGTTTGCGTGCGGCACACAACACCCTTTAAAACGTTTGCCACTCTTGAGCAAGCATCACTCAAGTATAAGCAACCTGGGTCCATAGAAAAATGCTGTCGCTTATTTCAGAATTTTTTCGAACGCAATCGATGATTAAATAACTATATTTACCTGACTTTTTATTCAACTGAATCAGACAAAATCGAATGTAAATGAGGTTAACAACCAATTCAAGCTTCTTTCAAAAAAGTATGATATATAGGCATATATACAAGTAGACGTAGCCATATTCTTTCAAAAAAAGTATGTAATATATATATATATATATATATATATATATATACACACAAATAAAGTCATAAGGATGGTCTAAAAACATTAAAAATTATAAAAGAAAAAACCAATAACATTTGAAAAAAGAATTATAAAAGAAAAAGAATTGGGTCATTTCAATGATTGAAGACAAAAACTCTTTAGAATAAAAACCAAGGTTTAATATGAAACCTATAATATATAAAATAAAATAAACTTTTAATATGATAAAAAACTTGAGGGATGCTTATAATCAAAAAAATTGGTTACAGATTCTCAGCAATATAAATGCCAAATATTCAAATATTGATGAAAAAAAGTGAAAATTCGCATTTCCAAGATAAATTCTTCTTGAAGTAAAATGTCGGCTTATGAGAGCGCATTAATATTTTACGCCAGTTATTCAAAGAAGCTCGTAATCCATTATTAATTGATAGAAATTTTTGACTGAAACAAATCAGCAAGTGGTGATAAAATATGTTTAACGACATGTACACTCCAAGCTTGTCCAATCAACTTCTGTCGTCTGGTTCGAGGTAAATCTCCTATATCTGTATAGTGATCAGGAAATCCAAACACTCTGAAAAAATCAGAATTTTTACAGTTCAACGAACAATATATTTATTCTTGAAAATTTATATAAGAATAACAAAGGCTACCATTAATAAAAGCAAAAATACGAAAATATAGTTAACAGTACAACAGCAAAGATCATCATGATAATATGTATCGACCTTTCTAGTTCAGGTATCCATAGCAAGCTTTCTTCGTTGTTATCAAGCATAGACACAGGCATCTCATTTCTGCATCCTTGCAACAAGGAGTTTTGCTTGGTTGTCACTGTCCTCAACTTAACTACCTAAGATTTTATGAGTTAAGTGTCGTCTATTGTCAAACATCTCTAAAACTCATATAAATTATTGATTAAAAAATACACACATGCACGCAAACACACATACACACGCGCGTATATATATATATATATATATATATATATATATATATATATATATATATATAATGATACACAAAGCAAATCAATAGAACAATAAAGTATGATGAACCTGAGACCGTCGACCTGGAAAAAGACTTTCATTGAGGAGATCTGGTGCAAGATTCTTATTGTACTGAGGTGGACTGAAATCAAATAATTAACTAGGGTGTAAGTAAATAAAATCTTGAGATGGCCAATATGGCTCCAATCAAATAATTACAATGAAAAATTTTCAATTTATGAATAAGGTTGTTCGAAGATCAGAGGTGTGTAGGTAGGCTTTAAAAAAATGGAAGCCCCTAATTGTTTTTGGAATCTCAAAAGAGCAACTTTGTCCACACTAAGTCAGTAGCAAAACTGTAAACAAATGTTTCAATCCTTGTTGTGGAGGCCCCCAAGATGGCCCGCCTGCCCATCTCAAAATCCAGCCCTGATGATTAGTATGCAAAAGGAAGCTGAACAAAAATAAATCCTCATAATTGAAAAATTTCATGTCTTCAAATATGTTTATTAAACACATTTTGGAAAAACATGAAAAAATGATTTTTTGAATTGGAAAAGACCAATACCAACAAATTAACCCCCCACCCAAAGCAGCTTATGCCTATGGATCAACGAGAATAAAACATCAACCAATCATTCAAATTCTCGTTACCACCAATTTCCCACTCAATCCACTACCAACCAGTACATGTTAGGAATGTTACCCCAAAACAATCTGGATCTATTCTGGGCCGAGAAGTACTTGGCATCCAAAGTGGCTGGGTGGCACTTGAATGAAGTAAGTCATGAGAAGGGTTCATATGAAAACAATTTAAAATTATAAAAATCTTATTACAGCTTGTTATGACGTCATAATGATAACAAATTAAAATCAATACTTTCATATATAACATATTTATAACACTAACCAAAATTCATTAGGTCATTTAAATGAAAATAGATGCACAACTAAACAGAAGAATGAACAAACAAACAAACCATAAAGAATCTGGTCATTGTGGCTTTACAATGTTTCTGCATGCTTGATACATTCTCAAACAACCAAAACAACGGCCTGTCTGCGATAAATAATAACCAACATTTCAACATGACCAACATGTTGATTGAAAAACGCTAATCATCAGTGTTCATAAGAAAAAATTTGTAAAATTAAAGCATTATTAAAATCTTAGTAATAAAAACGAAATTATCACCTTAATCTTCAACAAAAAATTCCTGTAAAAAATTATTAGAAGAGGAGAAAGAGTAAACCTGGGGTCATGAGTGCTTGCAATTCTTTTAATATTCTGTAGAACTCAAAAAATAAAACTCCTGTACCATCTGCAGTTAATAAACAAGTGCATTTTATGCCAACATTAATTTTCAAAATTCTGATTATAAAATGAAGAGTAAAGAAATGAGAGCAATGTTTCTCAAAAAAGGTGATAGGGCCCTCTTGTGGGTGCTGAAGTCTTACGGGGGGTAGTGAAAGGCTTTGACAAAATTTGAGGACTTTAACAAAACCATAAGCATCGTCACAAAGGCTTCTTTTCACAACTTGAGCAATAATTATAAGCTAGCCAACCTTCACTCAGTCCCTTTCTGCCAGGATTTGCAACTGAAAACTCATTGCATGGTGAACCGCCAATCAGCAAATCGATAGGATGAATTTTCTCCAGCTATCAATGAAAGAAAAAAATATTTAAATATGGCACATTCACAATTTAAATTCATTTAAAACAGTCAAAAAATCAAGAATTTTTTTTTTTAAATCAAAAATGTACTGTTGTAATAAAACCAAAAATTTAACAGCAGAGATCATATATATAATTCGTGTACATGTATGGTATTGATTATACTGAGAACCAACAGTCTCCAAATAACTGTGCGTAACCAATGAGAGCATTGATACAAACAATTATTACATTATATTGTCTTCCTTAAGCAAACTTTTCAAAAAATTCAAAAAGCAACGTAGAAGTGAATTTCAAGACAAAAATAAATTTGATGCATGTCAGATGACTGATGATTACGCAATACAAACCATTTCTGAGTTAATGTTGGTGACATCCCCCAGCCAGTGCACCACACCTCCTCCATGTCTTCCTTTGCTGACCAGCAGAGAGTCTTCATCTATCTCGCTGGCGTAATATATTTCAAGGTCGACATCCAACTGATCTAAAACAACTTTACCTGATTTGAAAATATATTTCAACTAAATTTGATTAATTGATTTAATTTAATTAACGCTTATCTAATAGAATAAGCTTGTGTGGAAGCTTGTTTGGGGAAGAAATACACCTGCCTCGAAAATTTTAGCTGGCTAACTGAATCGGTAAAGGGTAAAAAAACAGATATGACAAAGTGACAGAAAGTCAAGTATATAAAAGGGAGAAATTAATGTTTTTATGATTGATTGATTGAAAATTGTCGTACAACAAAATGCAGAACATAACATTCCATCTCCGTTCGTCTACTGAAACAGGTTCAATTGCAAACAGGTTTTCAATGACAATAAATAATAAAAGTTATTGATGAATCTCGAGTAACAGTTAAATTGAAAAAAAACACTATGACGGTTTTGTTCATTTCAACATATGATATTTCAGTTAAGGTTAGAAATAATGGATGGAATGATAAATAACTGGCATGCATATATAACGAGTACGTATGTGTGTTGTATGATGTGCATAGTATAGCCTTTGTGACACGAAAGTTTAATTACGAGTAGAAAATAACATGCAAGCAGTTTTGTGCCTGCTAGATAGATCTGCATTATAAAGAATAAATAAAAAAACAAAATAGTGACAATAAAAACAATAGTAAGAAACCTGTGCTGATGCCATCAAATAAGGAGAGAACTTTCATCCTTCGTCTTGTCCTCTTCAATATTATTGGCAAGTATCAGAGTTGCAGATAATAAAAGGCAATTGCATTGAAACGGATAATGTAAAAATGTTTTATGTTTATAAGAAAATTAAGTATTTTAGAAAACAAGATAAAAATAACTGAAAATAACTAAAAAATAAAATATTACACACAGGCAGAATAGATGGATTAGGTTGAAACATGTAGTTTAGTTCCTCCTTCCAGTTCTCTACGACCCCATTGCAGCCGATCAGATGATGAGAAGTGGGATCACAAATGAAACACGTCCACATCTCACCAGATTTGATTGCATGCACTTGCGATTTGCCTAAGATATCCGTCATGCACCTACAACAAAACACCCTGTCAAAATGATGTGTACAGCAAATACAATGAAATAATGAGGACAAATTTTACTAAAAAAAATTTGAATAAATTTTACAAATTTTAATAATTGAATAAAATTGTATAAAAATAGTCTTGAATCCAAATTCTTTAATCAAATCAATTTTTACAGTAGAGATGATAAATGCACATGAGAGGAATTATTTCCAAGGTCTTTTGGGAACAGTAGATGTTTTTTTGCTCCTAAACTGGGTTTGCCAGTGATGATGTTGATATAAATACTTGAGTCTATGAAGGTGATAAAGTCAAGAGCTGTGATGTGCATGCCATCTGGCTGATAAGATGATACGTTTCATGATGAGATGATATAAAAAATTGAGATGAAATAAAAATTGATAGTTTCAAAGGGGTACAATAATTTTTTTTTTATAATTTAAACCGATATGCATACTTGCTCTGTTTTTCTCTTAAAACTGGCTTTCCATGTATAGTAATAACCAGAGAAAACCAGACGCAATTGTGTTTTAATACGCTATTTAATTATCGAATTCAAATAAAAACAATGTTCCTATGTAAATTGACAAAAAATTATTAACAATGTTCTCTTACTTGTTGCAGCCCAACTTGTCACACAAAAACACTTCACCTGCTTGTCCACATATAACACAGAACATCTATTAATTATAAATTTTTAAATTAATTAATTAATTAAAACAATTTTATATTGAAATATTTGCACCATGAGCGTACATAAGTGCTTGGATGACTCGACAGTGTAATAGTTTACGCACTGGTCCTGCTGTTGCAGTAACGAGGTTCGAACGCAAAAAAGATCCCTGCTTATTATATGCAGTGTGTCTGGCGCATTGATTTACGCACCAGTTGATACTTTGGAGAGTTAAGCGAGAATTAAAAACGATAGCAATAATGATAAAATATCAATCAATCAATCTTCGTTTAGCGTCCAGAGACCCGGTTCCCCCGAGGTAGGACGTTGTTTTTTTGCCATCAACTTTTTGCGCAAAATTAGACGATCAGTTGTATCTATTTCATTTAAATTTAAAGCTTTCATGTCTTGCTCGATTGTTTGCGACCAGGACTTCTTTGGACGGCCTTTGGGACGTGTGCCAGGTACTTCAACATCTGCAAGAGAAGTTATGGCACTGTTTCCACTTCGTTTGACATGACCAAACCACCGCAGACGGTGTTGCCGGCATTCGTCTTTTATATCATCTAAACCAGCACGACGCAGGATTTCGGTAGATTTTATGTGGTCCTTCAGACTAATTCGTTGCATCCATCGGATCATTTGTAAATATTAAAATGTTGATAATCGTGTAGTTGTGTAAAGATTTTTTAACTTAAATAAAAAAGAATCCACATAGTTAACAATTGTTTACGAATTTGTATTCTCATAAGGTGTAAATGTAGTAGAAAATATCTTAGAACAAAACTGCAATCCCGTCTGGTAACTTGTTAGCAAAACCTCAGATCACCGTGTAAATTATATGCCTGCCAGATTATGTCAGGTAACATAACTAGAGTTAATTGTAAATTATGTCTAAAGATCTGGAAATGTAAAGAAACGTAAGATCTACACAAGATGTTGAACCTGTAACCTTCTTAGTGAGATTATTCTGAAAACTTTAATTACTTAAAAATGCAACGATTGGTTGGAAAATGTTAAAAAACTGAAAATATTCAAAACTAACATTAAATCCATCGGTATCAAAGACAAAAATATTGTCAATCAGTCGATTCTGTAATGATATTGATTTATTGTTTAATTAAAATGAAAATTTAGATTTATTAATTTAGAGCAGGGCTGGCTATCAGGCATTACACGAAACATTGGGATAATGACAAATATGTGACTACATTGAAAAGAAAAGCATTAAGAAAGAATATAAACGATTCTCTAAAAAAAAATTAAACACACAATGAAGTGACGGGATGTAAAATAAAATTGTTCTCAGTGAGGTGTAACTATTTTATTAATTGAGGATTTTTTCCAGATGTCATTCAACTTTTAGGCCTACTTTGGAATACGTTATAAGCATACACCACAACTGAAAATGACAAAATTCTTATTATTGAAATTTGTACAACTATAGACAAAAAACCAACTTTGCAAGTGATACAGAGTTTTCCAAGAAGGAATGGATGGTTATATGCACCAATATTAGCTCGACATGACAAACATGCACCTGAAAAACAAGTGCACATTATGAAGTTAACAAATTTTAAAAACCGCTGGGTTCTCAACACAAATTTAAACTTTCCTAATACCATTTCTTTCTTATACACTAATATTTTGAAATCAATTACTTATTTTGTCTTGAATGTATTTTTGAAACATTACCACAAAATTAAATTCTTTTAAGACTATATTTACATAAACAGGGTTATCAATTTTTTAACTTCATTATGGTGAGTGAATTAGCATCCAAAACCTTATTAAAGTGAACCAGGGGCAGGTGCAAAATTAACATCCTAATACTTTTATAACTAGTTTGAAATTCAAGTAACACGTCCATAGGCCTAGGAAACTGGTTTTATATATCAATGGATACCTCATATAAGACTACACACACGCATGTTATTCGGCTAACCTTTTTCAGATTTCCAGTTAAACCATGTTTCTTGATTTGCAGTGTTTGAATCAATGTCTTTATTCAGTTTTACACGGCAATCATGGTTTGAATGATTGGAATTAACATCGTCATCCTCCTCATCACTATCATTAGCGATTCTGATTCTTTCATTCTGCTTAGAATATTCGTCCAGTATCTTAATTATCCAATCAGGAATAGACAAATCTATTGAAAAAAAAAATTACATCAAATTATTATCCAGATTATCATTGTAAAACAATAAGAAGAAAAACCAAAAATAACAATGCATATGGCTTTTCAAAAAAATAAAAATTTGTATGCTTTGACCGAAAGAATGATAATAACATAAGTGTAAAATAATAACAAAACACGCAACAAAACTATTTAGCTGAGACTTTTTATTATTATCTTCATCATCTTTGTTCAAAGCTACATTTAGGCCTCAATTAAGACCATGCAAAAATCAAAGACACCGCAAGGTTTCTCAAGATTTGTCTCAACTTCTAATTTTTTCTATTTCTGTTCTTATTCAATTTAGTACAAGAATCCATTTCAATATCAAAAACCAACACAAGAATCCACTTTATTATTAAAACCAACAAGTCCAACACTTGAACTGCTATAATCATCCTTCAATAATATAAAACATCATTCATCCCCATCAATGCAACTGTAGTTTCTTCCTCATTACAATTTCTCATATATCCGTATAGCAGTTGGCGAAAATGACATTGTGTTAAATTAACTATATATAAATTAGTTCTTAAAAAGTAGATTCAACCGACGTAAGCATGTATAGATTCAACCATGACATTAAAAATCAATAATAATAAAATGTATAAATGAATAGTAATCTAAAAAATCTATTATCAGTTCAATCGAAAAGCAATGTAATAATAAATTAAGCTATGTTTAAAACCCTGTGATAATTACATTGATACTGAGCCAAAAATAAAAAACGTAGTTAGAAAGAGCCCGACGAGTCTGATAATTAATAAAATGACCAATGAACATTGAGATGAAAGTTCTACAGTATCTTTTATTCATCCCACGCACTATCATTTCCAATCTATACTCATCTCATGAAGTCCTACTCAGTCATAAATAGACTCTTATTCTCTACCATTATTATAATTTTAAGAAAAAAAAAATATTTAAAGATAATAAATATTTTACCAGTTTCTTTAAGCATATTATCAGCATGTTCATCGTTAGTGTCATAAAGACTTATCCAGTTCAAAGCTATTTTGTCACTATCTGCATTCTTCCCAATTCTGCTGTAATATAGCTACACCATAAAATTAACAAAGTTAAACATAACTAACTTTTTTAAAATTCTTTAAAAAATCAAAGTCCAACAGATGCAAAAACTGTTACAACATGCAAGGCAATAACATGAAATGATAACAGAAAATAAATAGTGAAGTAGGAATGTTTAGACATAATAAGCATTGAAAAAAAAACAATGATTTAAAAAAAAACAAATAAATAGAATAATTAATTGACTAGTTAATGACTTAGTAATTTAATTAACTGTGATTCAAAAAGTGGCTTAACTAAAAATATTAAAAAAAAACGTATATACGTTACAGAAACTTACAAGCAAATTCAAAGTTAGAAGTATTAAATTAAGTTAACGAAAAAATATGACTGAAAAAAGTGAAAATAATAAATACTTTGCACGCTTCAGATACTCCTTTCTCATAATTTTTTTTAAAATTCTTGTTGTTATAATTTTGATCAAAGGTAGTCCTGAAGTCCACTACATTGTTCAAAGTAACCTGTGAGTAAGCAACAGCAAACAAATGACAGATGCAAATATGAAGGACGAAAAAGCCAGCACTAATTCAAAATCAAGAAAATTATAAATAAAAACATCAAAATTAATATCACAATTAGAATATAAGGCCTGAAGAACAAAATGTTTTTTTTTCAATTTCCATACAGGATATCCATAAAATGAAGAATTAATTAATATTTTAAAATGTGTCACATTCAGTCAAGCATTCTTTCTTTACAATTTAATGATGAGCACTAGCCTTAGTTTTGCACCAACCTCAGCCTGTTCAGTCTACACTTTTTGATGAGGTACATCAATATTTTAAAGGTTTAAAGAAGATTCTCAGTAACATCAGTATAAATTTGGAATGGTGATGTACCCAGAGAATTAAAAAGAATTGACAACACAACCCAACAAGTTTTCAAGAAGCATTTAAAAAATCAACTGTTCAACAATCCACAGCTGTGCTAGTGTTTCTGAGGTTCTTTCAAGAGGGGTGCTATACAAGTCATGCAATACAATATATAAACTTGAATTCATCCAACCAGCCTAACATACTCTGCAACTTTCATCACAAAAAATGACAGTGCAAATTAGTATGAAAAGAAAAATAGAAATTGTATTGTTACACAAAAAATGTTCAGAACTGAGTGAAACTGGTGTCCGAAAGTGAAACATATGAAAAAAAGACAAATATATCTTTAAGATACTGGAAAAAACTACCAGTTTAAAATAATATTCTAGTAGAAGACCTAACAAAACAAAGGTAAAATATTAAACTTAGAGCAAAATAAGAAGAAATTAATGTACTTTTAAAAAATCTGGTTAATCAAAGAAATTGTCTCATTAATATGGAAAATAAACATATTGATAACTGGAACATTATAAAAACTGTAAAAACTGGGCAAGCTGCTTTAGCTTAAATCTGCCTTTTTCTTGGAATGCATTATTGGCTACATTTTTGTTTATTACTAAAATTTGAAATTGGAAATATCTGGTTGCATAATTGATTTCTAGTGTTGATAAATTAATAACAACATGCATTGATGGGATAGTCACAGTTCAATTTACTATTCCCACTTTGAATATAACTAGTCTTAACCATAAAAATGATGATGGTGATGAAAGTTTATGAAGAAATACAAACTCTACCTCTGAGACCTTGTGATCTCCAAACCAGAAAACCCAGTAATTATCATGAGAGGCCTGTTTCTGTCCGCACATTGCACCGTCAATGATGACAGCAGGCCAAAAAGAGCAAAAGTACAAACGTGCCCACACAATCTGACCCTGCAAAACCAATTTAAAACGCGCAAAATGAAATTTTCATTTAAATTTCAACTTTGTGTTAGGTAGGGTCTGTACAAGCAAAAATAAACCCATATTTGAAACTTCATTGATAGTCACACAGACCTGATATTATTCTAGTATTTCAAGGGTTTTTTGCATATCCAAATATATTTAATTATTTAAAATGAATCATAAGAATGCGTTGTGTGGTCAACCACAAATTTGTCATTATGCAGCAGCATTACAATTATAAAATGGCAGAAAGAGATGCTATTGTCTCAAGTCAGAGAACCACTGATACATTAAAACCTATTCACAATTTCATGGTTTACTCAAATTTTTTAGTGCTTTGAGAGAAAAGAAATACATAATGTAAGAGTCATTCCATTCATGTTAGTGCTGTCTATCATGTCAAAAGTTCATCTTGAAAGAACTTAGCAAGAACAAAGAACACGTCAACTATTCAAAACAAAAATAAGATTGCTCCACGATGTGGTATCTATAAAAAAATGTAAAATAAAATATAAATGTTTATAAATCCATTATCTACATCTGTCAACAAAAAAGAAAAACTGATATATGTCATAGAAAAGGTTTAAAACCCATAGTGATGATCATTATTTCATATATTTCAGAATTGAGGATGTTAGAAAAATAATTTAAAAATAAAAAGGGATTAGCTCAAATCAACATACAAAAATCACACAACTTTAAGACTTCTTTATTAGGTCAATATAAGATGAAAGTAACCAACCAAAAAAAATACTTTAAATATTTTATTGGCAAAAACATAGAAGAACTAACAATTTCAAAAATTTTATCATAAGAACTTTCCTGATCACACAGCAACAAGCTGCTTTTAAGAGTACATTTGAACTTCTTTAAAGATTTTTTAGCCAGTTGAGAGCTTTTAAACTTTTTCTTTTCTGGTGATTGGAAATTTTTTTCTAAATTATCTTTGTGGCACTGATCAGATTTCTGAACATTGATGGAAACTTTTCTCAAACCAAGAAGTGAGCTTCTAATAATTTCATTGCATTCAACCTTTAAAAGAATTTAACAATGTATAAATTTAAACAACAGCAGTAAATAACTTTTATGCAATATTACTTCTCAATTTTAAATTCTTTATAAACCACAAAAGAAATTTGTTTAAATATACAGAAGTGAAAAAATGTTGAAAAATTATAAACTTTAATTAAGAAACTGTGTCAAAGATTGATTTTCAACAGCATGTTGTATTCAAAAACAATAGGCCAGGAAACAAATTTCTCATTTTTTCACACACTCCTTGTACTCAAATTATAGATTAAAAAAGATTAAAGACCTCTCACTGTATTTCTTCAATAATATCAATGACACAACCAGCAAATGTGAACATGCCTAAAAACGAGACATTGTACTCCTTTCATATGATAGACTAGGATCTTTTCCCATTCAGATCAAAACACTACCAGGCATCACCAGACCCCTGTAACCATTAAAATTATGCCATCTTTCTACTCAATTTTAGAAGTATAAAAATGCTTGAATTGTGGACATAATTGGTTTAATTATATGTATATGCTGGTTAATGCCGTAATTTATGAAATCTACCGAATTTCTATTGTTGGATAGTTTTTTTATTTCATTTCTCAATATTTCTAACCAAATTCTTGTTGTCATTATTTATTTTATTAAAATTTGAATGATATACAGTTTTCCAATTTATTCTTGGATGTATAGAACCTATTTTGATTTTGCAATCATCTATATATGTATATGTATATATACATATATTTATAAATATAAATATATATATATATAATCTAAAAATGAATTGGCACTTTATGATCAATACCAATTTGCATTTTCACATTCTATTAATTAAATAATAAACTGTCAATCCAATAGATTAACATGAGATAATGAATACAGTTCAATTGTATACATAATGAATTGAACTGTACTTATATTCTACAAAATATAACTATAGTATAGATGTTACTAGCCTAAATACAATTATATCTTAAATAACTGAATTTTAGTATTATTTAATCTAAAATAATATGTTTTTATTTTATTGTTTGTATATTTTTGATTGATAAATAAAAAAACTTATAAATAAAACCAGAAACACATGCACATACAATTTTATTTTAACCATTAATAATAATATAATAGTATCTAAAAAATTGTGACATGCTTTCTTCTTTTGTTGTGGAGGGGTTTAAAAATTTTTGTGACAGAGAAAGGGAGGAGTCAAAAAACGTAAATAACGTAAACATTCTTTATTTATTTATAACTTTAGTATTTTTACATTACTTGTCTTACACAGCATGACATAAATACTAAATAGGTCATGCAATGCCAGGTGCCTGAGTGAGCTAAAAATTAAAACTAATTAACAAAATTAACATTCATTATGATTATATTTTTGAGTTTTTTTAATAACTAATAATATAATATAATATCAAGTACCAATGAATTAATGATCCATGATCATTAAAATGATCAATATCAATGTTAATCAGCCACTAGAATGAAGAAAAATAAATAATTTACTAACTAAAAAAAGTAAAAACTACTAAAATAAAAATCTAAATAAATTAAATCATTAAACTCAAGTAGTAAAACCAAAAGTAAAAAAAATAGTAATAAATTAATCACTTTGTCGTAGTATTGCAAAAGCTCCGACTGAATCAAACTTTTGAAAGAACTGTTAGAACCCATTAAAAGCCAAAAAATTCAAAAACCTAATTTCGGTCGAAAACACAAACCTATTATCGACCGGAAATTTCAGACACTTTTACTATTTGCCGTAACCAAAGACAAAAACTACTCACTGTTTAAAAAACAAAAACTAATCTTTCGATTAATTTCACAGAATTCACACCGTTCATAAATTTTTATTTTTAATTAAAAAATGCAAATTTATCAATGTGTTAGATGATTTGCGTATGATTTACATTTATAACTAGACACCATTAGACACAAACTAAGAACACTTCACGTCTATATTATATATAAGTATGTGCTTGAAATTGATTAAATAAAAACTTGAAAGTTTATCAGTGCTAAAACGCCGTAAAACTGCAAAAAAAGTATTGTTTTTTTCATGGAAAAATAAATATACATTTATATATTTATATCCATGCTTTTTTTTGTTTTTTTTTAATAAAATTTTATATTTGGTGTCTTTGTTTGCTTATCACCGAGTCAAATTGTGTTTAATTAATGTGGACACGGAGTTTTTGAACGTCCGTTTTATCTGTTAATCAAAATCAAAAGTCGCTTGGCTTACTTACAATCAAGAAAAAGGTAGAAAGGACCTTTTTGGTGAATGTATTATTTATAATGAATCTTTTTTTTACTTTAACGATGTTATGTTACTTACATAATAACAAGTACAGTACACCGAGCTCTTGTGGCCTGCAGACTCAAATAAAAAAAAGTCATAGCATGTAGAAATAGCAGTTAGTATGTTAGCAGTACGATTTTAAGACGATGTATGCTCAAAACTAAGAAAATTATGGTGGCAATCAAGTGAATCAATACCTGCCAACCTTGAAGTTAAACAAGAGGGCAGATACTCAGGTAAGATAGTGCTTAGCTAGCCACAGACAACAGAATAAAAAAATTTCAGACTGAGATTCCCAAAAATTTTTTTAATATTTTTTAACTTTTTCTTTTACTTTACTTTTATATTAGTAATTACTTTACTTTACTTTACTATTAATATTAGTACAAGTTCATGTAGCAAAGTAACAATTTTTAAAATGCTAACGCAAATGAAATGGCTATTATTATAATTATATTATAATTATTATAATTAATAAATTAAAATTTAGACACTTTTTAATTTTCATTTTTTCAAATTTTTAACTATACTCAACTCAAGCTTAAAAATCGTCATTATGTTTTTAAAATTAAAATTATTTGTCTTTTTTTTATTATTTTTATTCTATTATTATTACTTTGCAAAGGATAGTAATTTGGGATTTTTATTCCAATCAGATAATTAATTAACAGAAACTTGGTTAAAATAGATTCATATTTTTGATTTGATACTAACAGATTTCATGGTCCTGTTTCATGTAAAACATAAAAAAAGTAGTTCCATATAATTTCAAATATTTATTTCATGCACTCACGTGTAGAGATGAGGTCAATTTGAAACTTTTTGTTTGAGCAAAAAAATTTGTCATACATCTGTTAACATTATTAATAATTATCATTGTAATTATCTTTGTCATAGCCAATTGTTTTGGTTGAGAGCAATATGTGGAACAAGGAGTCATCAAACATGCCTTGGGGTCAGCCAAATCTCACTGGAAATGCAGAACAAGGTCAATAATCTATGCTTGAATTTTTCTATTTTCAACTAATAATATAAATTAATTATTATCTTGAAACTCCATCTTCTCATCATTTTTTAAATTCTCATATTTTCTTTTTTCAATTTCCATTAGGGCTTTAGAATACACCGAAAATAGTTAATTTTATTTTGGTTAAAAATTCGAACTGCATTGACATGTATTGCATAATTCTTTACAGTTCATTTTTTGCTTTATGTATTACTACAGTTTTTTGTAAGACATTTTCACAAGAGATGTATACGCTATTTAAAAAAATTTTTAAGCAATTCAGTTTTATCACATCGTTTGTGATTATCACTTTTAATAAATATTTTTTTTCATGCTGGATGAAGATTGGGCCACCCTGGCCAAGCAGTGGATGCAGCATAGAGACATGGTTGGGATGCCTGTCCTTGTCAATCAACAGTTTCCTGTTGCTCCTCCTCCGGTGCCACAAGCAATCCTGCAACAGTTCCCTCAACAACTCCTGCCACCAATGCAAATGCAAAATTATAACGACGATTACATGAGGAATAATTTGTTAGCTCAGCAACAAGAGACAGTAAATTTTTCAAATATGGAAAGTTGTAATTCTTTAGGTTTGTTAATTTTAATGTAAAGAATTGCATGAAGTCAAGGTCACATATTTTCAATGCGTTCAAATTTAAATGAACAAAACGGCTGCTCAGTTTTTGAAAGATGGAAGATTGTCTATTTTATTAATTTACAGCTTCTGGGTTGATGGGGCTGGTGAACTCTGATTACCATCCCCAGCCTGTTCAACAGCCAGTCAATGTTCCGACTGGGATGAATAATTGGAACATTTCACCGTGGGCTGTGGCACCCCCTCCCCCTCCTCCTCCACCACCAACTGATACAAGTGAAGTCGGTATCTTTCTGTCATTTTTGTATTTTTTTTTCTATTTTTAAAAATAAATAAAAGATTTTCACTTTTGTTTTTATAAAAATTACTAAAATGGTAGATTTACTAATTGTAATTTGAAATGCTGTTGAATGGTATCAGCTGTTAGAGACATCGTCAGTACATCAGGATAGTGACTACTTTGCAGCGAGAGACATCAACACAGAAGCACCAGATTCAATGACACAACCACCGCCATCATCCTCTGGCTACGTGAGCACTTATTCTAACACAGGTGATTTTCTACCAGTTAACCCAGTAAGTGTTGCTACTTTATTTTTGAGAATTCATTATTTAATAATGAGTTATCAAAGAAAGTCAACGTGCATAAATTTTCATGAAGCTGTTTGTTGCCTCAACTTTTTTCCATTTGTTCCAACCTGAATCTATAATAACCGCTATAGTGATGGTTGCTGGTTGTTAGAGTTGTTAGTTGTTAGTGTTGGTTGTTAGAGTTGTTTCTCCAAGGATGTATAGAGTCAGAAACATAGGACTGTTATTGTTGATCATATTTTTGTTAAGTTTTTAATAACATTCTAACTTAAGCAAACAAGGTCACATCATTTCAATCATTCTTTAACAATTTATGCATATAAAAGATGCAACGTCAGGCTTTTGTCACTGTTATTCCACTTCAGAGGATGAGTTTTAAAAAAATTTGATCCCATTAAATTTTATGCTGGATGTATTTGTCTTTCACATCAGTATCTTTGTTACATTAAATATGAGGAAATTCGTGCTTAAATATATTTAACAGTATTAAAAATTCTTTCACTTTGAGAACTTTACCTTGAAGGTTTAATTTTCTGCTGATAAAGATCAATTGAAATTTTGTTGAGACTATTTTGTAAACAAAAACCATATTTATAAGGTGGAATGAATAGAGGGTGGGTGTGGTTTCTTTGCCACGAGGCTGAAGAGTAATTCCACAAACATTTATTGACTGCAGGTAGTGAAGCGAGCGTGGATGCCGTCTGCTGCCTCCAACGTGACAACCACCAACATCCCTGCTACATCTCGACCTGTATTAAATAATCCATCCTGGCTGACCAGCAACAACAACAGCAACAACAATAATTACTTCAAAGACCTGCCCTTCATGGGTCACGTATCAAATGACTTCATTTTGTTTTTTTTTTTTGTGATGAATGGATTTCAAAATTATTTATTCTAAAACATTTAGATGCTGCAAAACGCAAATCGCTTCCTGCTTGGATTAGGGATGGACTGGAAAAAATGGAGAGAGAAAAATACAGGCAGATGGAGAGGCAGAAGTTGGAGGAAGAGTACAGGAGGCGGAAGTCATTGCAGCAGGGCACTGAAGGAGAAGAGGATGTCGATGAGCAAGATGATGATGATAATGTAAGTGATGCTCCTCTGAAGGAAGGTGCTGGCAGTGGCGTTCATGAACTACAATCGGTTTGTTTATTTTCTCAAATTTTATTTCAAATTCTGCATTAAACAATTACAGATTTTTAGTGAGTTTTTCACCATTTAATTTCCAACGCTTTGGTTTACGACTTAAGGGATCAACGGCTGCTGCTGCTGATGATGGCAGTGATCCTGAGATGGATCATGATATCGAGGACAAGGAGTGTGATACGAGACCGGCTGATGAGGTAGAAAACGACGACGACGACGATGATGATGATAAGAAAGAGGAGGAGTTATCAGATGGAGAGAAGGAAGCAATAATGGTATGTCTTGATGTTGTAGGCTTTTAAACTTGTTTGGTTTTATAATACATTCTGTAAACTTTACAATGGCCCCTCTCGATGGGTGGTCCTCTTATTTATTTTTTCACCTAAATTATAATCTCCTTAATGTGAGTTTAAAATTTTTAAAGTTTAACACATTATGTTTAATGAAACATTGTTCCTATTAAATGAACGCAACATTTTGAAATTTGGGACTCACGACACTTAGATGGCGAAGGTGAAGAGGATGTTAACTGAGGTCCTGCTGGATGTGACCAGTGAAGAAGTCAACTCAGTCGCAACTTTTGTTTATAACAAAGCAAAAAGTAGACAGTTAAAAGGTATTAAAAAGAATGCTATAAATGATCAGTCTTTATATAATGGCAACAAGTACATTAAATTAAATTCATCTACGAGCTGTTTCATTATCAATCAACACCAGTACGTTTGTAAATTTGCAACGCCCATAATATTTACTTTATAAAACTTTCCATGTGTCAAATAACTTAATTAAATTTGTTTTTTTATATTTTGACTGAATGAATTTCAAATTGTTTTTTGACACAAATCTCACACTTAAACATTCATTTACAACTTTTGCTTACAACCAAATAAGGTCTAGTGATAAACCGCATGGTAAAGATGCATCTTCCTTTAAACTTAATAATTCTGTCGATATTTTGATTTGGAAATGAACCATTCAACCGATCAATTATATGTTGTTTTACTTTCACAAACAGTCCTATTCCTATTTCAGTTTAATAGTTTTTAAGTCAAAAATCATATATCTAATGATCTTGAAATATATTACTGTGATGTTATTTATTTATGAAACTTATTAGTATTGTGTAGATACTGACAATAATAAATAATGCTGAAAAGTTAAATGTTATTGTGTGTGTGAAGCCCCAGTTAGGTCATTAACCACTTCATCGGCTTTGGCTTCTATTTCCAGATTGGGTATGTTCTTTTTCATGTTTTCATTTAGAGACATAATAAATTTGGTCTTTAACTTTTTATATTTTGAAACTGCATTCAATTGCTCCTATGAATGATGAACAACCCCAGGCGAGGAGTATGACAGTGACAGTGAAGAGGACAACGTGGATGGTGAAGCAGTGGAAAATGATGAAGATGGTGACAATGATGACGAAGATTTTGAGGAAGCCATGAAGAAAATTCGAATGAAGAGAAAGGCTTTTGAAGAAAAAATGAGTCTTTTAAATTCTCAATCAAGTAAATATAATTTCTTCGTTTTATAATTTTTTGTTTAGTAGATGTTCTGTCTTAACTGAGACCATTTTACGTTCAACTGTAAGTGGTCCCGTTGAAAATAGTTCTGAACTGCAGGTTTTTTATTACACACTTAAAAATTTTTCATAGTTTTTGAGTTCAGACTAAAATTGAGTAAGTTACAAAATATATTGGACAATGTAATGGATATGTTACAGTCAGAGAGTGTTGAAAAAAATTAACCACAGGTCTAGTACTGATAACAGCGCTTAAATCAATTCAATTATATAAAATCTTCAGAATCGGAGTTATGTGATTATTCGAAATTTTTAAAAAATTTTTGTACTAACGTTGATTTGAGAAATAAAGATAATGAGAATGAGTCTTATGTAACGATTTAATAAGACACGATATTGACACCGGAAAATAATTGATAGCTAGTACCTGCAATGGATTTTTTGATTGTAAATTCAAAGAATTAAAAATTAAATAAGATATTTATATGACTGATGAATGTTATAAAAAATATCCGACCCATAACGGATGGAGACTATAAACGATGATTGGTTGATATTTGTATGACGATGTTAGCTCTTTGATTTTTACGTTTTATTTTCTTAACTAATTGGATTTCTTAGCATGTGTACATTGTACAACTATGTAATGACTTGAATGTATTGTACAGTTTTGGAAAATTCATTTACATTATTGCATTATATACGTGTTTTTATTTAGCGAGCCGGTGCTATCCATCAACGAGATCACCCACCACCACATCAAGTAATCCACTTGAGACCAAAGAGAAACTTCGAAAGGGAACAAGTGAATCAACAACCTCGGCACCTGGAGATCAACCGCAAAAACAAGAAAAGAAAAAATTTCATGTCCCTAAAAAAGATGACACATCAGATTCGTTATCTAGAACAACGACTACTAGTTCTTCAACCACTTCTTCGAGTGAATCAGATGCAGAAAGAAAGGCAAAGAAAAAAAGAAAATCATTTAAAATGAAAAAAGACAATTACCTCGAAAAAAATATAGATAATATTGATAAAGTTAGAAAGCATAATGATTATATTCAGAGTAAATGTTCAGATGAAAAGAAAGAATTAGCCAAAGATCAGAGAGATCATTCTAAAAAAAGTAGAGAGGCTCTTTGCAAGACGTCACCCAGTGTGGATGTGAAAATAAAAAATTATGATTTGAATCAAAACTTACCGACAAAAATTGTAGAAGTTAAGTCTGGGAGACTCAAAACTTCAGGTGATCACCGAAATAAGTCATCCGAACGAAGATCCAAATCGAGAAACAAAAGCTCGAAATCAAAAAATCGTAAAAGATCAAGATCACGAGAGCGAAAATCTAGGTCGGCCGAGAGGTCACACAAAGCTAAAAGATTTAAAGATAGGAGTTCAAGGTCTCATGAGAAAAAATCTAAGAGATCGAGTCGCTATTCAAAGCCGTATTCGAGAACAGAGAAACATTATACAAATTCTAGATCGAGATCTTGAATATTTTGTTTTTTTTTATTTTTTTGTGGCTCTCCCAATATTTTTATTGCTTGGTAAGTTTATTTTATCATTCACTGTTTGATAAATCATGAATGTATGGTGCATTCTCAGACAGTGGCTGTCGTTGAATTGTATTTTGAAGTCGAATTATAAACATTTGTTATCTTACGTCGGATTCAGTTCTTCGTGAGGGCATTTTTGTTTATTTTTAAACTTCAAATTATTTGACTTAAAAGAAATTAAAAAGTTTTATTTAAAATCAACTCACAAAAAGTCTAAATTCAAATAAATAATAGCTATTCGACTGTTTTGTTTTTTGTGAGTAACGTGGTGTGTGTGTATGTGTGCGCGTGCGCGTGCAGTTTCGTCTACAATTAATTCTCAAACATTTAGTCTGCAAAAAATTACACACGAAATGAAAAATTTTAATAGAAAGGAAACCTAGTTAATGCTAGGTTTCAGACGGAGTTTTATATTTTGGCATGCTACATAGTTTAATAAATTTTCAACTGGATTGTGTAAAAACGAAATGTTTAATTGAACTATCATGTAACCGAAGCGACACTTGATGTTTGAGGACGGAAAACACGGCCAATGAAATGGATTGCTGCAGTTCGTTCTTCTATCACTAAAAATAAAAATGGATGATCGGCTCGAAAAATTTTCGGAACCTGTTGCTGGACGCTGGTGTCTGCAATAGAATTAGAATATGAATTAGTCCCTGAGCATGTACCAGGCCCTATAGAAGAATTAACTTCCGTTGCCGGTGTCGACGCGCCTTCGTCTATTTCAAAGCACAAATGGTGAAAAACTCTTGAAAGGAAGAGGGACGTTGTACCATCAAGACCTGAAAAATCCGCTTTTCCGCTAATGTACAAGTTTTTTATTCCCAATTTGACAAGAGCATCCCAACATATTATTCCCAATTCATAACGGAATTTTGGCAAGTAAACGTCTACTAATTCTTCTTGCATTCGATCGAGTGCGTTATCCAAAACTGATCTCGACAACTTCATTTCGAGACGTGTAATATTTTCGGATCTTCTTGGCAGTAAAACAAGAAATTTTAATTCTCCGCTCGATAATGGTAATTCTAAAATATCGCAGTCAAGTTTATAAATAAATGCCATTCGAAAACATCGTCTCTGATACATCATCGGTACTTGTGGGGCCTCCATGTGCAAATAAAAAGGTAAGCAAGTGGTTTTCTTTTTATCAAATGGGTATAAAAAAGACAATTTTGCATATGTTGCACAAAGCAGCAATAAACTTGTGTCTGTATCGGCGATTCCTGTTGGCAAAACGTCCTTGACACGACCATGAGTTTTTTCTTCCGCCCATTGATTGATTTCTTTACGAGCTAAATCAGGTCTATTACGAAAATCAACATTTTTCATTCTTGTAATATCATATCTCGAGCAGATCCGCTCGTATGCTGCTGTCATTACATGACCAGGTTGGGCAAAAAGTCTTATGGCAAACTCGAATATTCCTCCTCTTGGCTGTGCAGTTTTTGTCACATCCCAGTGCAGGGCAGCATAAGCTGGAAGTAGTTGATTATCCTGAACTTCGTGCAGATGTAACGATTTGTTCAACTCTTCTCTTGAAGAACCGCGAGCACCAATGTGTATCATTCCTAATCCGAGAGATACACTGACAGGAGATATTACAAAATTACCCGGCCGCTTGCCATCTTTTGCAAATTCTTGGTATAGCTGAATTGAAAATTTGTTGTGAGCTCTGGATAGACACAACAAATGAGTTCTAGTTGTTCTTATTATTCTGACCGGCTCGTTGCCATCCTGCGAAGGTCCATCCATCATTTCACTTTCGGCTGAACCCATTAAGTTTGTAGTTCTGTCGTGTGGTTGATTAATGAAACGATATAAACGTTATTGATAAATTAGATATTTTTAAAACATTGATTAAGGTTAAGGAAATATATAATTAAATTTTATTTTATTTAGAAGTCAATAAAATATATCTAAAATTACTTCTCTTACCAAAATTCAATGTCTTTTAATGTAATTTTACTTGATATTCACATAAAATCGATATATCGACATAATGACGTTATAAATCTGATTTTATTTTACAAATTCAACAATTTGTTCGGTTAATAACGTTGAAACAGATCAAAAACAATAAGATTTGATTATCGAATTTCAATTGTTAAAGAAGATATTTGATAAAAATATTAGAAACTATGTAGTATATTTTTGCATGGATAGCTTGCATGTTGTTATTCCATGAGAGATTGCTTACAGCAGCTGGTAGTGACTGTCATTATCATCAACAGCTTTATGTACGCTGAGATCATTGAATAAACGTTAATAATCTATATTATCGTTTGCTTATGCTAGTCTTTAACTTATTTATTATTATGAAATTTACATAAAAAAATTTAAAAGAGTAAAATAAATTTAATAAAATGTATTTAATTAAAACAATTTATATTCAATATCAGTCAATTAGATGAAACATAAGTTTCCACATAAACAGTTTTTAACAATATACTGTTTTTAATGCTACAACCGATAATTCATTTTTTTATATTATTCACGTACAGAATAGATATGTATGAATGAAAACGGAAAACTACTAATGCTGTAAAAATCGATAATGCATTAGGCTTGTACGGCGAATGCATGCGCGCGCATAAAATTTTTCTTTCCTCTCGCCTCCTCTCGCGAACGTCAACAGAATATTTTGACAATGTTATTTTTCCTAATATATTTTTGTATATAATTTACTTCTTTGTCCATACGTTAATCTCGTTTTAAATTTAAAACATTTATGTATCAGATGAATCACTTTACTGGACGGTTATTCTACAACAACCTCACAATTTTTTGTAGTTTTTCACTTTACTCGCCATTCTGCTAACCGATTCCAATTTACAATACCGTTACTAGCGATATCTACATTTGCATTCATAAAAGTTCAGTTTGTGAAGAAAAAATTCTTTAATTCTTAATATTTTGAGAGCTGGAACAAGATTTTTTTCTCGCCTTGATCTGATACAAGGCAGTTTCAGTCGATCAATAGATTTTATGTTTTTGCAATCTTATTCTCAATTTTTATTGGCTACTAATTCTATCCAATCGTTCAAGGAATTTTTTGTCAACAAAATAAAAAAAGCATTTTTTTTATTCTTGCTATAAGTTTCTAAAAAAATTGAAATTAGGTTTTAATAGTTTTAAAATTATGGTGTAAATGTGTAAATGCACTGTACTATACAAGTCTGCAAATTTGTTAAGCTTTTTTTACTTTTCGATTATCTATTCTAACATTCTTCGACTATTTGCTGAATAGTTACACTACTGGAATAAATATAATTTATAGTTAGCTGCATATATTTATAGTTGGGCTAACCTCATTTTGATGAACAGTGAAATTAGGAGTAAGTTACCTTAAAAATGTTATAGTCAGCTTTATTAACCAGTTATGCTATAAGTATAAAGGTTCTATAAAGGTGGTCAACATAATCTTGCATATGTGGTATGAGAAATTAGTGTTACTGATTAGTAATTATTAGAAATTTTCAATTTTTCAGATTGCATTTTTTCGATAACATAACCAGGTTTGCCTTGCACCATTCTTCTAATCGTTTTATTTTTGTTGAACATTTTACTTTGTACTAATATGGATGGTTGGGTTGTTTGTTATCTGTAAATAAATCTTCAATATATTCTCTCCATTTAATTTGTTTGATTTTTGAAAGACGTTTCCAACTTTGTGTTGTACAATCTTTGACGTGTACTTTTGTTTTCTTTTCAGTTGTTCTACCACGTGGTTCTAAGTATATGAATTAGGTAAGCCTTTCTTGTTTTATTGTGTTTGCTTAGTGCGAAAACCTTTTCGCATTTATTATTTATCAAATTTGACCTGTTTTAAACTTTTTTACATTTTGCAACAGAGTTCTTTGTATTTCGTTCCAATTTTCTCTTTTTTATAAATTTCCATGTTTCATCAGTTAAATAGCCTACCGTTTTAATTTTTTTCTTAGTTTTACATGTTTGATCTGTTGCTTTGAGAGCTGTTTGTAGATTCTTTAATTTTGTTTTTATTTCAATTTCAGAGCTGTAAGTTTCAATTTATTTATTATTATTTCATGTCTAATTTCCTTCCATTTTTTTCTCGAGATATCTGTATTTTATCCTATTGTCTCCATTCTTTCGTTTCTTTTTGGTTTAATTTATATCTTCATCATGATATTTCACAACTAAAGACGACGATCTAATTCTATGTCTAAACCGTTTCATTCATTTATGTTCTATTAATACCAAATATTTTCTTTTCATAGTTTTTCAGTTTGGTGTTTCCCGTCCATATTTTGATTATTTGTTGTTTCGTTTTCTGTGCACCCCAGACCAATTTTATCATTAGCACTCCAAACTTTGACAATAAGTTTGACGTCTTTTTTGGTGATGCTTTTTTATTGTTTATATCTGTTGGTATATTACTTCAACCTCTTCATTTGAAGGGTTTGTTGTTGAAGCGTTAGGTACGAAAACATTGGTTTTTGGAATAGTTACATTTTTTTATATTTTTAATCTCTCTCTCTCTCTCTCTCTATATATATATATATATATATATATAATATATATTTATTTATTTATTTATAGTTATAATATTACAGAAGCCTAAGTAAGTATTCTACAAGAGGAAAGCCTTATCAATATTCAACACTTTCTTATGGGTTGGAAGAACCTCAATTTTTTCAAATTTTAATTATTCTCGGTAATGTCGATTTTTTTTAAATTTATACCAAATAAAAGTAATTAATTACCACATTGAATAACAATTAAAAAAATATTCCAAAATTAGTAAATATACGATCGTAACTTTTGACTCGAACCATATAAATATAATATAGATATAAATAGAATATAATAGAATAAAATTTTCTATCTAATAGGAGTCATTCTACTTCTTTTAGCGCTACTCTTTCATCTACTCTGCCTAGTAGCTCTAGCGTAGTTCAAGGTTCTGTCCTTGGACCATCTACCTTTATCATCAAAGCTTCTACTCTCAAAACTTTTCATAGCTCTAATCAAATCATCAAATACGCTGACGACACCTACCTTATCAATTATCATCCCATCATCTAACTCAAACACCATCCAATCAGAACTCGACTCATTAACTACATGGTCAAAACGATGGATGCAACCTGTCACTTAATCTCTATAAATCATTCGAACTCATCATTCACAATAACCGTAAAAAATAACATTACCTCCTGAACACCCATCAATCACTCGCACAAATCAATTAAAAATATTAGGCATCACATTCACCTCCACACTCAATATAGCACCTCATATCATTCACATCATCACAAAAGCCTTTCAAACATTTCACGCTCTCAAAACACTCCATTCACATGGTCTCAGAGGCATCAAATTATTCGACATCACTGAATCACTCATCATCTCACGCATCAAACATATAAATACTCACTAGAACTTTATCATTCACAGATCTAGTTTTTATTTATCGATCACCTCACTAACTCACTAAGTCATAATTTAGTCTATTAATTTGCCCGTTACTTCATTTTATATTTCATTGTCAATTACTTTTCTTTTATTTTTTTATTATTTTTATTTATTTTATTTTTACTTATTTCATTTTTTATGTTTTAACATTTTTCCTCCTCACTTTTTGTATTTATTTACTCACTCATTTGTTTAATTTTGTACTATTGCCTTGCATGTTGTTTCAGTTTCTGCGTCTGTCAGATCCTGATTTTTAAAGAACAATAAAAAAAAATATATATTCTATTTATATGACTCGAACGATAAAAAATCACCCTCCAAATCCCCTTAAGCTCTTTGTTCGACCGTTAAAAGTGAGCGTAGGCCTTTATATTTATTCTAATTTTGTGGTATTCTAATTGTATGCAAAAAGCCATCCAGTGTAGTAAGCTAAAGGTTCTTTGGTGGTTCGACAGTTTACCAAAAGTGATGTGTTCGTTCTTCATTCTCACTTTTAATAAAAAACATGATGATTCTAAGTCGCTTAATTTGTTTAACATGTGTTGGACGTCGGGCGTTCTAAGCTTATAAAAATTATTAATGTTTGCCTAATACTTTCCTAATCGATCGAAACAATAGAGGAAAGATTAATCTGAAGAATATTACATTTTTGATTGCTACCAGACCTGATACCAGGGATGTCATCATCTTACTTTGATAATGATGCCTGGCCCGGTTTCTATGAAGAAAATGAACTCAACAGCTTAAATAATTCTGATTTTAATTTCTCCTTGGAAGATGATTTGTCAAATTTTGCCGATCTAGGTTTATCAATTGATTTTTTCTTGATTGTTTAGGCCACAACTCACACAACACAGTAACAGTGACAAAATTAATTAATTTTATAATTAATATAATTTATAATATAACTAGTAAATCAGGTGAGCTTTAAGCAGATTCGTGCATGCAGTTTCATGACACCTGGTTTACAAGAACAATAAATTTGTTCTATGATAATTTAAATATAATATAATAGGATACATGATACATACTATTATGAAAGCACATGAAATTCATTAAATTAAATAACTGAAAAAAAAATTCTAAAAAAAAGAATAATAAAAATAAATAAATTAGAAATAGACATAGTGTAACACTGTAAGTAATGTAATCATCAATAATGGTTAAGTTATGCCATCTATTTATATTTCAATGACTTTTTTAAACAACACACCCTCAACGTAATAAGAATGAATTTTATTAAATATATAAAATATTAAAAAATGTATTCAAAAGTTTTTATTTGGTCACAATTATTTGTTTGTTCTTTCATTAGAACATCCTTACATTAATGAGGAAATATAAGTCATTAATCAATGTCTTTAAAGGAATTAATGATAATGCCATTTTCATATACATTTTGGCTTGATAAATATACCTATCCTGTGACGAATAATTATATTTATTTTTTGAGGAAACAAGATATTCAAAAATAAAACACTTATCTTCTGTTTATGCACTACCTTGCACCTCATAAATGAAGTACTCAATACAAATCATTTTTATTTTAATTGTCATCAAATATATAAAAGTACATGCATATATAATAATCAATCTTCCCTTGTTCATCTGCTATTAGTATGTTGATTGAGGTTAAAATCTTTTCCAACAATGCCTCAATTTTTTATCGTTGTTTTTTGTTGAGTAAAAATTGTTATCTCTATATATTATATTTATTAAAATAAAAAAATTAGTGAGATTATAATTTCAATGCAATTTCAGCATTATTTATATAATAATGATTGATTATTTAGTGTTATTCGTATGTGAATATTAGTACATACAAAATTTAATTATTAATTTATGCATTTTTTTTCTTTAGATTTTTTAACCGAAACTGTAGCTAAAGATTCTTTGATAACTTCAGAAGATAATTTCTTGAATGTGAATGATTTATCTCCACCTAATCCTGGTGCAAGCAGTTTTACTGATGAAAATAATGTTCAATATTTTAACAATTATTTAAACGACAGCACAAACTTCATTAATAATGATTTGAGTGGTAATGCCGATATATTCAAAATCAAAAGTGAAGAAAACGAAAGCAAAAATAGAAGTAGTTCATCCCATCACATCATCAAGAAACTTTTACTACAGCCTAGTCCTGATAGGAAGATTCAAAATGCGGAAAAGAAAAATAATTTGGTTGAGGTTATCATCAAGCCTGTGAAGAAAACTGACAACTTATTGCAATGCACGAATGATGAAGACCAGCTGAACTGTAATGAGGTTGCTAACGCTGTCATCGTCTCTAATAACATTAAACATACTAACAATGAAATTATTAGTGATAATGTTGGCATGAATAAATTGAGAATTGAGTCTTCAGGCTTCTATCACAACTATTTGAATGCTTTGTTGCAGAACAAGGAACAAACTAACTTAAAAGTTGTTGTTAATAATGCTGCCAACGGTAATAACATAATTAATAATAATATTAACAACAGCAATCTCAACCTTAGTAACAATGTCGGTGATAATTTTGTCAATAATAACATAAATAACAACAATAATAACATAAATAACAACAATAATAGCATAAATAACAACAACATTAACAATGTAAATGATGGTAAGAAAATTCACAAGATCATTTTGCAACCCAGCATCAATGTCAGTCAGCCTCCGTTGAAATTGAATAACGTTCAGAACAGTGCTACACAATTAATACTAAACAACAACAATTTAAGTAGCAACACCAACAGCACTTATACTAACCAAACTTTGAACACCTGCATCAGCTTGCAGCAGTTGAAGCAGGTAGTCTATCTATCCATTCCATTTTCATCCTTTTCATTTGTTTGTGGTTGTTTAATGTCCTGGTTACGACATTAAACTGACCCTCACTGCCTTGTGAGTGATGTTGGATCATCAAAGGCTAGGCCCACCGCTTATAACTGTGGTTGCGTAAGGAAGGGCGTCCTACGTAAAAATTAGCCAAATAAATTACTTATGATGACAGAAGTGACAATGGTTTCATCATAGGTAGCCAAACGGCAACCCCCGATCTCGGGGAAAATGTCGTCTAAACGTGTGTTGTTGTTGTTGTTTCATGTGTTTGTGTTATTCCTATTTCTAAAAACTTTTAAATACCAAAACGATTTTGATTTATGTGTCAAAATTAATAAATTTTTATGTTTTTTGTTGATTTGATTTATGTAATTTCATTTATAATGATATAAATTGAATTATAGGACAATGTGATTTATTTTGGAATAATGATATAGTATTAGAAGCCTTCAACTTTTAAGGTCATTATAGTTGAACTTTTATATTAGAAATCATTTATGTAGTCATATTTATAACTTATTTTGTCTATCTTCTCAAGATAATACATTAATTATATTATTATTTATTATATTAATTATAGTCTAATCATCATTATAGTCTAATAATCATTAATTATCATCTAATAAGCTATTGAACCAGAACCATTCCAACAATTTGGCTTCAAGTTCCATTGCTTTGTTGACCAACCAGCCTGCTGTCCAGCAACAACAAGCACAACAGCAACATCCCACAATAACAATTGCCAACCTGCCCATTAGAGTTTGCAATTTTTTATATTATATCTTCGTTCATGGGGTCAGTCATTTATGTAACTAGGCATTAAAATAGAATAAAATTGATAATTAATATATTTATTTATTCTCTCTTTAGTATNTCTTAGAGGCATCATCAACAAATGTGCAGTGTATGTAAATATACACAAAACAACGTATCACACATTCAAGGGATGATAGGGAATCTTCTTGCATTTGAATCCAGTCATAGTGACTGACATCTTAACTATTACACTATTGTGTCGCTTGTTTATCCAGTTGTTTGCAATATAAAGTGCTATAAAATGAAATAAATAAAGTGAACCAAGATAAAGTAGTATGAAATAAAATAATTAACTTAGATATTTTATATTTTTTATTTATTCTTTCAAAACTTATAACAATGGTACAGGTGGTGGATGGAGGCAGCCAGTTATCAACTCAGCACCAGTTCATGCTGACAGATTCTTTCTGCACTGAACCAAAGTCCACTCACAATGCCATTGAGAAGAGGTACAGAATGAGCATCAATGATCGAATTGTGGAATTAAGAGAGCTTCTAGCTGGCAAGGACTCAAAGGTATTTTTTTTATTTTTGAGCTTTGTCTTTTCCATAGCTATTAAATTGACAACTTTTATTGCTTTGTAACCATAATAGGTTATTTAAAATTTTAGTTAGATCATTTTTATTGGATTTTATTTTTAAGAACTTATCATTTTTGTTAATTTATGTTGGAACACTTCAAAATCACTCACTTTTCTATATAATTATAATTATCTAAAATAAATTCTATGTTACAAACAGTTGAGCAAATCAGCAGTCTTGAGAAAAGCCATAGAATACATCAGATATCTTGTGGCTAACAACAACAAACTGAAGCAAGAGAACATGGCGCTGAGGCTGGCGAGTAATGGTAGCCAAGGTTGCTCATAAATTTAGTTCTACATTTTTTTTATGTATCAATGTTTTCGGTTGAAGTTTACATACGAAAAAGTCTTTGAACCTGCAGATTTCCAGAATGTGTTGGCAGCCATCCACGATTCAGGTAAGTCTGACATCACAGATCATCCTTTCCCTTGCTCCTCCCGACTCTCTGAATCACTATCCCCCTCCAGTTGCCATCTGTCATCAGAAGCTGGATCATCTGGGCCTCCCAGTCCTGGCCTCAGTGAAGATTTCACATCTTCTGGTCTGTACTCTTTATTTACTTGCATCATGTTCATTGCTTTATATTACTATTAAGTATATGACATGCGCATGCACTTACACATAACACATAAAATTCAATAAATTAGTTCTTCTGACGGCAAAAATAAGATGAGTGATGTTTACAAACTATGAATATGAGCACGCACCCTTGATAGGAGAACATTGTTTTATAGGTGGATCCTCCTCCTCATCATCTCAGGAGAAGTTGCGCATTATTCCAGGCATGTTGGATCGGTCACGTCTCGTGCTCTGCATCTTCATGTTCTCCATGTTTGCATTCAACCCACTTGGTTTGTTTCTCGGTGGTTTCATGTCTTTCTTCATGTCGGCTCCAGACCAGCACAGTGTCTCAACTGGAAGGGTGCTTCAGTCTGAGGGTGAGTTGTCGTCGGCCATTAATTTTCATCTCATTTGTATGCTTGCACTCACGCGCGTTCAAAATACACCTGACTGTCAACGTGAAATATTTCATCACTAAATATTCTTCCAACATTATCAGCAGAATCTGACATGGTGGATGTTCAGTACTGGTTTCAATCCATTCTTCCCTCATTCGTTGTATGGTCCATGAACTGTTTGGTTGGCGTTGTCATCATCATGAAGTTGTTTGTGTTCGGAGAGCCCCTCACTAAGCCCATGTCGCCATCATCAGTTCTGTATTGGAGGAAGCGAAATCAAGCTGAAATTGAACTGCTCAGGGTGGCTTGCATACTTCTTTTTATTCAACTTTGCAGTTTATTCCGATTGGTTGTTGTTATTAGCGACGTTGTTGTTGATGATTGTCGTTTTAATTCTTTCTTTATATGTCCAGATTGATATTATGTAATGTTCGAATTTCACTGTGCAATATGCAGTACATATCATACTGGTGTTATGAGTTGTAATTTTTATATGAGAGTTGGGAAACATAGTTATTGTTTTTAATCATATCATTTATGAAGATAAAATGCTTTGAACAACTTGTACAAAACAGAAGTCGTACATTGAAGCGTCCTCACTGTTGAGTGGATGTTTGATGGCTCTTGGTCGACCACTGCCTACTACAAAATTTGACGTCTTTGCAAGTCTCGTGTGGAACCTCATCAGACAACTTCTGCACAGGATTCACCTGGGCTTGTGGCTTGAAATGATTTCAGGTTTTTTTTTCTTTTCTTTTCATGCTAATTAATTTTTCATTTTCAAAAACCACCCCATTTATTAAAATTTTCATAAAAGGGAAATTTCATCAATCATACAGATATGAGTAAATTCAATTTTCAACTTAAATCAGTACCAATTTATAACCTGGCTTGAATTTACAGGAAAAAATAAAGAGTTATGTGGGTTGATGTATAATAATAATAACTGAAGACGTCAAATTGTTTGAATTATCAATAACCAAACAATAATTTTTTTCCTTTTTTCTCAAAAAGTTTAATTATTTTTTTAAAAGAATCACTCAGCAATTTTTGTCTTGAAACAGGCAAGCTGTGCAAGGGGGTCAGCAGGAAAGACATACAGTCGTCTGCAAGGGACGCCACTGTGGTGTACCACAAGTTACTGCAACTGCATCTCACTGGTAACCTCATCTCTACTCTTCTGGCTGCTGACTTCATTTCGTTTTTTTTCTCTTTTATATTCCTGCCATCAAATTTTACATGTGATTTCGGTTCTTCATTTCGACTTGTTATCTTTTAGTTTCATTCAATTTTGATGAGCAGCCGAGCATAATTAAAAATATTCATTTTTAACTTCGTTCAAATTTTTGGGTTGAAATTTTAATTTTGAAATCGTGGTTGAATGTGTTGCTGCTACATAAAAATATAATCAAAATGACAAACAAAAACAGTTGTACAAAGGTCGAAAAGACAAATGAATTAAATTAAATTAAAAAATGCAATATCCAAATTTCTAAAAACAAACAATCTCGCAGACCATGTCAGCCAGGGAACGTACGCTGGCATTAACTTGGCTTTATGCACCATCAACTTGGCTGAGGTACCTGTCTACTTGTTTTCTTCTCAATGTTTACGCTACTGTATTTTTGCTAATTTTTAAACCATTTGATTACAATACGTTAAATTTTCTTTTGTTTTCTATTCACTTTTGGTGAATTGTTAATATTTTTAGAATAATTTAATAATTTGTAAAGATTTAAACTCATAACCTATGATTATTTTGCCTGGTATTATCCAGGTTTCTGGTGAGGCTCTGCCAAAGGGGATGCTTGCAGAGATCTACACTTTGATAGCCATGTCCATAAGGATCATGCTTCCCACTCATTTTCATTTTCTGGCTGTAGGTTACCATTCTGTGAACCAATCATTCATCTATCGAACATATTCATGATAAGATGAATGACAGTTGAATGATTGGATAAAGGATAATTGAATGATTAGATGAATGACAGTTGAATGATTGGATGAATGACAGTTGAATGATTAGATGAATGACAGTTGAATGGTTGGGTGAATGACACTTCTCAGCGTTACTTCCTGACAATGGCTCGATCAATTTGCTTCACAAGTTGCAACGTCATCCCTGCTTCCCTATCTTGGCTCAATAATCCGCTGGGGCACCGATATTTTGTCGATGCCACATGGAACATGCAGATGGATAAGTCCATCTTCACCAGCTGTCTAAATCAGGGTATCTGAACGTTCATCCTTTGCATGTGTGTTTGTATGCTTTGTGTGTGTGCTAAATGCAATTATTCTGTTTGTTTGCGATACAATACAAGTGATTATTACAAGTTCCATCAAACACCAACAACGTCAAATTAAAAATTATGTCAAAGTAAAATTAGCTGGTATTAAATTTTGTTAATATTGTCGAACAGTTGACCCACTGGCTCACATCTTACAAAACTTCAGAGAGAACTTATTGGAGAAGGCCGTGCTGGCACTTGTGACTCCTGGCTACAAGAAGAAATACAACCATTTGAATAAATACGAAAATGATTGGTCGGTTCTTTGGTCGCCGTTATTTTTAATATTTTTTGTAATAAAAATTTTTTTCATTAAGAACGTGATTGCACACACTAAAACAATTTTTTGATTTAATTTGTTATGTTTTAGAAATTTCAGATTGGAATAGATAAATGTACGTACAATACATTTTATTAGTTTCTTAACAACGTGCTCTGCTGTAACTGAACTGATTAATTGTAACTTTTTAAATGCAGGGTCAGCCACCACTCTCCCGACACGTTGAAGTTTTTGAATCTGTTGAACGAGTGCTCATCGGGCTTCAACACCCTGGCCATCATTGGAGACTGCCAGTTCGAACATCTCGCCAATAAACTTGGTCCGTAATCGAAATTTTTTGGTGGCTTTTTTATGTCCAGAGTCAAATTTCAGATATTGTTTTTATCACTCTAACTATGGTAACTAATGTTTCCACTTTGAATACTTTTATAACTGCCATTAACATTTCTAAATAAGTTCTGATACAATGAAATAAGTATAAATGAAACTCGTTACAGGGGCTGATGACTTGTCGAAGTGGTGGTCGTCGTTGCTGGCAGTGGCAGCTCACTGGCTGAATGAAGAGGAGCAGTATGCTGAAAGGTGCCTCTGCGTTTGCTTCTTCGTTTTTATGATGGATGACTGAGATTACTTATTCATACGCTGTTTGTATGTTTTTCGTTCTCCAGAAATTATGATGATTAGGTAAATAAAAAAAAAACAAAAATATACCAGTTGGTTCTATTGTTATAATTTTATTCTTTAGATTCTATTCTGTCGTCGATACTTTGCCAAAGTTTCTTCAAAAGTCGAGGTGATGTCTTTTTTTAATCAGTATTGATGTTGTTGTTGTTGTTGGATCAGTATTGAACGACGTGATTGTAGAATGTAGATGTGCTCACTTTGCTTGAATAACCATGCACCGTTAGACGATGCTTTTAGAAGTTAATTAACAAATTAATCTAAAAACATTGCCCACATCATGACGGTTTTAATGCATTTCCATCCTCATTTACGTTCACTTGGCCGTCACTAACTAGCTCAATCTCTGCACTTAGTGACCCGCTTGTGAGGAGTGTTTACATGGCGTTCCGAGCTCGCAGGTACAGTCTGATGGATGCTGATGAGAGTGGCAGTGGAAGTAATATTAACAACGTACATGTGGAAACATGTAAACAGCTTTGCAACAAAGCCAGCAATCTCTTGAAAGAAAGCATCGAGTTGCATACAATGCAGAGTAACAACAAAATTATTCAGGTAGGCTTGCTGCTTGCTTGCTTGCATCATCATATATTTTCAACTGTCTATTTTTTGTAAAAATATAATTGCTTATTTTCTTTATTTTGAAGTTTACAATGCTTTTTAAATAGTTGAACGTATAAGTCTTCCAATAAATTACATTAAAAACATTTTCACCATGCAGGCGTTCCAGTTATTGACATGTGACTGGTTGTTGGTCACTCGCACCGAAATGTGGCAGTGTGGAAGGAGTGAGCGATCGAGTGATGAAGAGAATGTTGTTAACACAACAACAGCAGCTAACAATAACGGCAACATCCACGTTTACACCTCGGATTTGTTTGACTTTCAGAGCGATCTGGCAAGTTTGAGAAAGTTGGCTGGTCACCTTAAGGCCGCCATGCCTAAGGTACATTAATTGTGAACTTATTTCTCTCTCTGGAGATAATGACGGTTTTTGACGTTTTAACAAAAGAACCAGCTATCAAATTTTTATTTATTTAATTGGAAGGTGTTTGCCCACGAGGCAACTGCTCGGTTGATGGCAGGAGCGAGTCCATCCAGAACTCTCCAATTGTTTGGCAGGGACCTCAGGAAAAGAAATAATACCCAAAGTAAAAATTTTTTAATCACAATATTTTTTGTTTTATTTCATATTTTCATGAGCAGCATTAATCAAAATTATGGCCATGAAAAGCTTCTGAAATTTATAACGTTATTAAGCAAAATTATTTACGCGGGTAGACCGTGGGTTCTAGTTTGATTCCAATGTGAAATAGCCTTTCATAAAAAAGTGTCCGTCATATTTTAGTGTTTAGGATATTTCAACTAATTGTCGAAAAAAATTTTTTTAAAGAATGTTTCTCAAAGAACAATCAATTAGTTGGATGCAGCCCCAGTGAAGCTGAAAAGAACGAAGATGATGACAAGAAAACATCAAAGAAAATGATGATGTTGCTGAAACATAGAGAATTACTTAAGTCAAACGAAAAAGATGTTGTCCACAACAAATTATCCATAAAACAACATATCCACAATAATTTTTCAGCAAGGATAACCCAGCCAACCAGAAGGAAGTGAATGCATGAAGTTTATTCACAGCCATTGAACAAAAACTGTATTTTATTTTATATTTTTATAAGATAATTTTTGTGAAGATGAATGAAATAAAATAATAGATAAATAAATTAATTGGCATTTTGCGATGGTAATGATCTAAGCTAATAACTAAATATTTTTTTTGTTTTATTAGTATAGTAATTATTGGAGTTGTTATTATTGATTTTTTGAGTAACTTTCTATTTCAGACTTGTTTTGTTTCACATTGTGAATAGGATTTTCATCGATATATCTTTAAAATTTGTGACAATTGTTTTAAATGTTAGTTAATTGATAACTAGACGGTTTTTATTTTATAGTTCTGTATAGTTTGTTTCTAAATTACGTTTGCCGTTTTTGGAATTTTACAATTTAGACGCCGTACAAATAAATGTAGTTCTAAATAGATAGTCGGCATCGTTTATTTTTGGTCGATTCTGTTTGTTTATCAGGTGTCTACTAAGCGAGGTTCATCTGATCGACGGATGCATTGATTATATAAGGAAGTCAGAAGATGCTTAATCGTAGCAGACGTTGTTCTCTATACACTCACCCCGTAATGGAAAGGCTCAGGTAAAAACCGATTAACTTTAAGAAGGTGATTCCTTGCAAAAACTCACACTGGACGACTTCTAGAACTGGACTGGATTGGAAGCCTTAGAAAAGCTTCTTCAAACGCAAAAGATGTCTCGGAGCTCCACATGGAATTTTAAACGTGCAAGCTCTCGTTGGAAGCAAGAGAACCATTATAATTGGTGCAGGGAGATTGTTTACAGCGTAAAAATACAACTTAATAACACAATTGATTCTAGGTCAAAGTTTAGAGCAAATGGTTTACTCCATTTCCTGTATGTAATTCATTGAAGCTACATTTGGAAAATGATAAAGATTATTAAACTAATTGATGATCGTATTACTAGTGAAATTAGTGAAACTAGACAGTTGCTTGCATGGAAAAAGTATCCCATTAAAAAATGTTTCACTCGCAAATATCATAGAAATTTGTTTTGAATTCGTTTAACAAAAAAAATTAAAAATTGGTGTTTCAACTTTTTTCTAACTGCGTTCACCATGATATGCAACTGTTTCATCGCCTGGACCGCATCAAGTGTGCACCTGTGAACATCATCAAGATATCAAACTCATGCTTGAAAGTGTACCATTGAGTCTTTGCCACAAATCTTGGCTGGAAAAATTAGTGTGCAATATTAACTCAAAAGAATGAATGCTATACAGATTTGAGAAATGCCTAGTAAAACTGACTGTCGAAAATAATTTAAGAGCAATCGTGTGTGTGTGTGTGTGTGTGTGTGTGTGTGTGTGTGTGTGTGAGTGTGAATTTTTACGTGAATATGGTGTTTGTTTATATGTATATGGTTTCCATTAGCCAATCCATCAATAAATCAATCCTGACCGTGTACTGAGTTACATTTTTCAAATGACGAATTGCAGTTAATCAGTCAAAAAATTTTTTGTTTACCCTTTGCTTCTCGTAAAAAAATCATTCACATAATCGTAATCGTCTTATTCACAGCTTACGTTTATGAATCGATGTTTGGATAATTATTCAATTAATAGAAAGCGCTACATGATAGATTATTATTGATATTTACATTTATTTTTCGTGTTAAAAATGGTCTGGTCCAGACGATGGATCGCAATTTTCTTATGCGTTAATGTGCTGTTTATTTGTAATGTCCGCCCTAAAAAGCACAAGATAAATATCCATCAAGATCGACGGCCTTACATCCATCTAACCAGTTTTGGATTTGCAGAAAAGGGTTAATTTAAAAATTTTCTGATTTTTTTTTTAATTTACTTTTAGAGATTAGTTTTCAATTTCATACAATTAATAATAATTTGGTAAAACGTGAGATCGGTACTCCTATGGTATCGTCCATGTTTACAAACTATCCAATGTACTTTTAATAAATTGACTCCGCCCGTGTTGAATTGTCTAGCACTTGATTATTTATTTATATCAAATTGAAAATAATTTAGAACATTACTATAATAATAATTTAGATCATTACTTGTCAAATTAAATATCAATGGCTTATGGAGTGGTTAACAGGGTTAGGGCCTCCATTTTTAACAAAATTTTCAATCATTTCACAAATGATTGAAAATTTTAACCACTCCATATTTGTGAAATGATTGAAAATTTTATTATAAAGGGAGGCCCTAACCCTAACCCTGTTAACCAATCCATAAGCCATTGATTGTTATCAAAACAGAAATTTACTCATGTTTTAACTTTTTTTTATTTAATGTTCACTATTTCAACTATTTGACAAGTAATGATCTAAAAAACTTACCTAATTAAATTATTTTCAATTCAACACGGGCGGAGTCAATTTATTAAAAGTACATTGCAATAGTTTGTAAACATGGACGATACCATAAGAGTACTGATCTCACGTTTTACCTAATAATTTTACATCAGAATTTGTAATTTGTTGTTGTTGTTTTATTAATTTTTTAAAATAGACCTAGTCTAAATTTGTTATGAAATTTAATAACAAATAAAACCACATGACAATATGATTGTTCATTATTATTATTATGGCTCATTGATATATATATAATTATATTATAATATTATATATTATATATTATGATATGTCATTACAGGTTACATTATTGATTAGAAAATAGATAGTTAGAATATTCAATCTGTTTTACTTTTTTTTTATATTACATTACTACATATAACATGAATAAATTACATGAAATATAAAAATTAAAATCATAAACAGAAGACATATATGTCATATATATATATATATATACAAATAAAACCTTTTGTGTTATATTTTATATAGAAATTTAAATTAAATTTAATAAAAATAAAAAATGGGCAACTAAGTCCAAATCCAGCCAATTAATATATTAATTAATGAATAAATAAATAAATAAATTAATTTATTTATAATAAACGATTGCTAAAATCTTTGATTTTTTTAAAGGTTCTATGTCAGTAAATATGAGTAACTTAAAGAAGTCAAATTCAGTATTGATGACGTTAGATGTGACAACAGCGAGTGCAAGTCAGTTGTATCCAGCTGGTGGTGAGAAATACACACCAATTTGTGAAACTCACTACCAACTTTCCAGTTCAATCATATTATTCAAGTTTCATTTTGATGAGAACCTAGTCATGATCAATCGTTCAAAAAATATGGAAAGTTTAATTCTTCATGACAGATCTGCATTGTTGACAACTGGGAATAATATAAATTACCCAATCAATGTGTCTACCCAAAATGCTTCGTCGTTACCTGCTTTCAATTTTTCTCACGTTGAGAATGAACACATAACACAACTCAGATTACTTAGAAATGTGGACAGTGATTCGTATCTATTGAGTTTCGAAGTAATAATTTCTAATTCTAGTGAGGCTGGTTTGTACACATTAACATTCCACAATTGTGATAGAAGAGGATTGGTTAATTTGACTGTTGATATAATTGAAAAAAATAATGATAGATTTCTAACAGTTGGTGACATGCCCTTGCCATATATGTATTATGCATTCTTTGCCGTCAGTTTATTTTTAAGTGGCTTGTGGCTCTTTATACTTTGTAGATCAAAAGAAGAAGTCTTCAAAATGCATTATCTCATGTTTGTTCTAATGCTAATCAAATCTATATCCTTGCTTTTTCATGGCATCAATTATCATTTCATTGATGTTCATGGTGAGAAAGAAGAAACGTTTGCAATTTTGTTTTACATTATTTATTTGATAAGAGGAATTTTGATGTTTGTCACCATAATTCTAATTGGTGCTGGATGGACTTTTGTCAAGCATATTCTTTCTGAAAAAGAAAAAAAGATTTTTGTAATCGTAATTCCCCTGCAAATATTAACAAATGTGGCTCATATAATTATGTTTGAGAGTGAAGAAGGAGAGACCAACTACAACATATGGTACCATGTGTTCATTCTCGTTGATCTGGCATGCTGTGGAGCCATCTTGTTTCCAGTTGTTTGGTCAATCAGGCATCTCCAGCAAGCCTCATCAACTGATGGCAAAGCTACAATTAATTTGGAAAAATTGAAAATATTTCGTCATTTTTACATGCTTGTAGTTTTTTACATTTATTTCACTCGAGTTATCATTTTGCTATTGACTTACACAATTCCATTTAAATACACCTGGATTGGAGAATTGCTTGTCGAATCGTCCACGATATGCTTCTTTGTAATAACAGCCTACAAATTTAGACCTGCCAGCAAAAATCCTTATCTGTTGGTGTCTTCGAGCGATGATGAGGGTGAAATTGAAATATTAACTAAATCAGGAGCCTTGGAAACGGTGAGCAAAATAAGATACAAAAACAAGAAATCTAAATCAGATGTGGAACAAGTGGTTTTGATTGAACGGGATGGTGAAAACGAATTGTAATGAACTTTTAGCTTTGTATCTCATGCGTATATTAATTGTAATTATTTTGATTTTTCTTTTGTTTTTCGATTATTATTAACCTATATAAATCTTTCTTAGTCTCATAATTTTTTATTGACAGCTTAATTTTTTAGGGCTAGTGGAATTATTAAACTGTTTATTTAGTATATTTAAATTTGAAATTTAAATAAATTGTGTTAATTAAATTCAAACGTGGTTTGTACTTTGTCATTAAAATAATTTTTGATGTTTTTGAGGACTGTCTGAATGGCTTTCATGGTGCAGACAATATTCAATCAATCAATCAATCAATCAATCAATCAATCAATCAATCAATCAATCCAATCAATCAATCAATCGATCGATCAGTTAGCTTATAATGCACTATTCCGCGATGTTCAACAGCGCTCCTCAATGAATTTTGCAAACAGATGGGTCTTGAGATCCACTCTGAACTTCGTAAGTGATGGAGAAGTAGTCAGAGAAGGAGGTTGAGAGTTCCAGAGAAAAGGGCCAGAAAAAACAAAATCATATATAGCAAGAGAGTGTTTAAAACGAGTTAAGAAGAAGTGAGAACAAGAAGACGATCGTAAACCTGGGCGTTTAGATTTTAGATGATTTCGTGAAAAAACGGTGACTGCGCATTTTTTCAGAAACACAGTTTTACGGAATACTTAATTAAAAGCGACCCTCATTAAAACAATATAAGTTTTGGGTTAGTGTCAGGGCATAGACATCTAAACTCGGTAAGGATCTCTGACTTGGCCAAGTTGTAGAATACGGGATAACACTTGTAACCAAGAACTTTATTTATATCGACAGCTTGATAAAACTATATTAAAACACTTTATGATGGTTATTATTTATTTTGGGACATAATCTTTTAAAGGAACAAATTTACAAAAGACTCATGATTTTTTTTATTTCAAAAATTGAAACTCATCTGATAACCGAAGTAAAATTAAATTTATTTGATTTGATATTTATGTTACATGTTTTATTGATATTCTAGAAAAATATATGGGTCAACAAATTTCTGAAAAATTTAATTTAATTATGCAATGCAGAGTATGATGAATAATTATTTAATTCGCGAAAACAACCAATAATATTTTGCCTTATTATATTATTCACACATCTGTAAGCAAAATTTAAAAAAATAAATACATTAAAATAAATCCAAATGTTAAAACTAACGTTTTTAATTTGAGTACTTAATGTTACATAATGTTAAAGGTGAGTTTTTATAGCTAAAAATATATAACATAAAATCAAGTCATTTTTTCTAAGAAGTCGTTCAAAATGGATTGTTCGATGGCTTCAATGGGATTTACGTCTACATCTCGAAAGATTTTCGGACCGCCCGTTGTGAAATTAGAATAAGATTTGGATTTGATTATTGATGACTGTTTGGATGTCTCCGTAGCAGATGATGGTCCAAAATCGTGCCTGAAGGGTTTAATATTTGTAGATGCGTCACTCGCTATTGTAACAAAAAACTCTTGCAAATCCCTCAGCGAAGTCACTCTGATGTTGGTGAGCGTCAATTGATGAGGCCTCACTTTAGAGGAGGGCATCATAAGACCGAACTATAAAATCATTAAAAAAATAAGTCAAATTTATTTAAAGGTTAAATAATCGTCCATCATTCCATAATAAAACTAATGCTGAACATATTTGGAAACAAAAAGGACAAATCCTGTTTACTTCATTGAAAATGTTAGATGCCAAAGAGGCTTGACCAATAAACATACCCACTTTTAAAATACATATTGACTGCCCATTAAATTTCATGTTTTACAAAGCTCTTAAGACTCAGATGAAAATATATAACAACGAAGAAACCATTTAATTATCTCAAAATATCAAATTATGATGTTTGCATAAATAGGCTCAATGGCAGATCATATACACAATCTCAAGTAAAATCCCAAATGTTTCTAACTAAAACTTGTTAGCAAACTATATGTTACCTTTGATTGCATCAGCCTAGATATTTTAACAACGTGTGGCATAAATGTGGTATTTTGTTGTCTGAAAGTATTCAAGTAATCTGAAGCGACTGTGGAGGCAAGTGTCGTGGTGGTAGGAGAGGACGATTCAGCTATGAACGCCCATTTGTATCTGCATGTTTTCAAAGTTTAATCTACAAATATCTTATTCATTAAACAAATAGAATCATTTCAATGTGAATACAAGAACAGTTATATTTTCCATAAGTTATGTATATATCAAGAAATATTAAGTGCATTACAAATAATAAAACGTGCCCTGAAAAATTTAACAATAGTGGTGTAGGTAAGTATGAAAATGTGTCTGAGAACAGACCGTTCATCACTACAATTTGTGAATGATAATAAAAAAAATAAAAAAGTCTGTTGCAACAACTAATACCTACAGTTGAAATTGCGGAAGATTTTCATGTGGCAATGCAATGAAAAGGTCCAGGAGCTTGCAGGCTGACAGGTACAACAGGTTGATGCGTTCCTCATTTGAATCCACTAGCAAATCTGTTGTCTTATAATTTCTGAACAAAAATTTCAATTTAGCGAAATGAGTCTATATGTTTTAAACATGTTACTACTAAATGGTAATTTAGAGCTAAAAATAAAATAGAACATAAAATGTAGAAATAATCAAAATGAAACAACGTTTGTAAGTGAATGAATTCAAATCGAATCCACCTTGCATTTTCATCAGGGTCAAAAGTTCCTAACTTCTGTTCGATATTTACAAAAACCTGAATCTAAGAATGTATTGACAATTAATTAATATTAAAAAACGACGGAACTAAAAGTATTAAAGAATTTCAAATTGATTTTAACTCTTTTTTAATTAATTAGTATTTACTGATTAAAACCACATTGAGAACAAACCAATTCTGTAATCATTGTAGGCCAGATGGAAGTTAACAACAACGACGACATTCTGAGCACAAGGACTCTAAAACAATTAAACACCTCAGCATGCAAAGCAGGAAAGTTTGGAAGTCGCAAACAATCCGACAGCTTCTCTGATATAAAAATAAGGCCAAAGTATGCATTTTTGCAAAATGAAAAAACTCTCTTTTAAAAATTCTTATGACTAGTACATATTAATAAAATTGAAAAATACATCAACCTTGAATATCAGGCATGCTCTTTTGGTATTGATCAACTTCACTGCAAAATAATGTGAAGGACAGCCGTTTGATTAGTTGCCTTTTCTGTTCCGATTCGAATTCTCGAGAACTGAATAAGTTTAAAGAGCTGGTTTGTGCTAAACTGAACCGAGCTGGAAATAAAATAATTTATGTTTTTACGCTAATAGGAAATTATCTTAATAAGGTTCAACTGTATTTCAATACTATATAATGCTACGATATATTGAAAAAATATTTTTAAAATGCATCAAATTGTCATAATTAGAAAAGTTTATATCTTTTATTTTTCCAGCAAAACTAGTTGCATTTAGAAAACCGATATGGAAATAATTTAATTACGACGATGACAATTTAGGTGAACATGGTGGAACGTACCTAACAAATCAAGAAAGGAAGACTTGTCATGTGACATGAGGTTGTCGGCGATGGCGGTCCAGAGTTGGAGGGATTTGATGTTCATTTGGAAGAAGTTGGCATCCAACATGAGGTCCATGCACTCCTTGCGCCAACACCTTCGCGTGTACTGGTACTCACTGAGATTGCACAGTAGTTTCGAAGAGGCAGTGTAGCTAGGAGAGTTCGTCATCCTAACAATAACAACAAAGTTGCACTCTGATTTACATTTTCAACGAATTGGGTGAATAAATATTTTGTGGCATGAATGTTTGTGAAATTTATAAAAACATTAAACATCTAAATAGCGAATTAACAATTTCAAAAATTAAGAACTTAAATTTGAACCAGTTAGCTTTAAAGTGTTTTTAAAGATAATTTAAAAATTGCAAATATATATTATTTTCACTCTTTTTTCCTTTCAAGTAGAAAGATGGGCCATTAAGTAATGGTCATGTATTTTAACCTACGTTTTCGATTGTTATAATAGGTCGGAAGAATAGACAATATCAATAAAATATCAGTTTATTAACCGCAAAAAAAATTTCAAATTCAAAGTGGTTCGTTTTACTCCATATCTGTCATTTGTTCAATAAATGCATTGAACACTCGATACACACGATACACAGATACTTATTATTAATACAACAAAATGCTTAGGATCTATACATTTGTTAAATAACAGTTTTTTCCGAGCCAGCCCAAGCCAATAAATAACTATTAAGACTCCAGGTGGTCACTTCAAACAACCACTCTATCCAAACTTTATTTACCGGAGCCGAGTGATAATTCGTATAAAACTAAACCTTATTTTTTCAGTTTAAATTTGATATCTAAATAAGTAAGCGATGACATTCATACCTATGATTTCTGAGGTATGGAAAGACGTTGGAGAGAATGTTGTTGAGGAGAGGGGTGACCTTATCCTTCTCATCACTTTGGAATGCAACGTCCAATAGTGTGGCTGTCACTTCAGCCAAGACGTACAAACCCTGAACACTCTGTGAATATGTAGTTGCGTTGAAAGTCTTGCTGTAAGGCTGCTTTTGTGTCGGTTGGAAGAGTTGCAACTGTGAACTGGAAAGAGAATTTTGATAAAGTCCATTCAAGGTTGAGGTGGAAGACGATGATGTCATCATTATTGCTGACGATGCATCTCCTCCTTTGTACGGTTCATCTGTCAAGTTTCATCGTTTTAAAATTGAATAAAATTGAATCAGTACACCGTGAAATGTTTCCAGCAATACTCTAGCATCCTGATCTGATTTATTTAATTTATGGACAATTGTTGCTACTATTTCACATCACAACAGGACCACGTTGCATCTGCATCTTGTCTAAAATTACAACCTTAACATTCAGTGAAAATCTTCATAATGTAGTGCACAAGTTTAAAATGTGCAAAACGAAGGTGAAAGATTATTTTTAAAATGTAACGAACCGGCAATAACTGCGTCCTCATTCTTATTCTCGTCTGCTACGAGATCGGACTTGACAGCAAGATGTCTCCGGAAGAAGTTAGCTTGCTCCAATGACAGGCCAGCTACGTTGCTGCATGCTTCAAGCAGTTTGTACGTTATGTCCTGTCGTTGTTTGCAATTTGAAATAACGAAACAACACATATGATAACGCATCAAATGATATTGGTAGAAAAAAGCAGTACAAACGAAATATATGAAACAACAAACATTTGATATGGGATATATTAATATAACGGGAAACAACTAACATGAAACAACTAACTAATGTGAATCAACTAACGTGAATGTCCTTGTGGTCCCTCCTCTCCTCAAATGTTGGCCCCTTCTGAAGCAGGCAGTGCAGAATGCTGTTTGGGGTTGAAGGTTTGAAAGTTTAAAAAATAAAATCAAAAGCAGAATAAAGCATTCAACCAAGCAACTAAAACTACTGAAGAAAATTTTAGAAAACAAATGAATATTTTTAAATAATGAAAATAAACATGGACAGGATTCCACTTATTCTACAGAACAATCAATTGCTGTACAAAAAATGCCGACCTAACAAGGACGAAGACAGCTGTATGATCAACATTTGCTTGGAAGACATCCTTGATGAATGTGATGATCGCCGTTGTTGATTCTACCACAGAAGCATCTGGCATGCGCCTCATGTATGCAAGAAGCAGCTGCAATAAACTGGCTTCCAATGAAACGTACTTGCTCTGTGCCTTAGTGTGGTCGTACCGATTTTTGTTAGAATCCGAGTTTTGTTTTTGAATTGCTCATCAATTTGTTTATATAAATTCATGAACATTTAGAAACATTACACCACCAATCAGTGGCGGCAATAGTTGGATTAAGTCAATAAAACTCGGCTCTTTTTCCGCACAGAAAAACAACATTATATAACTATATATATCAAAATAAAAGGTCGCCAGCCTAATTTTGGCCAAACTACCACAAATCTTAGCCGGCGACCCGTCAAAACTTAAAAAAAATTAAAAATTGAAACATTTTCAAAATGTTGCCTCCCCCGTCAAAGTTATTTAGATTCGCCACTGAAACCAATGATTTTTTCATGTTAACTTATAATAATGGCAACATATTTAATTGCAACAAATAAACCAAAAATTAAGCTGAATTGCTTACTAGCTAGAATAGTGACAACACTACGATGTAGCGAATAATTCCGGTCATACTCAAGCAAAACATTGAGAGAGTATGAGAACAACAACACCCAACAACATCAAAAACAACATGAACAACCAGATGAACTAACCTGAACATTGTTGTTGGTGGAAGTAGTTGAAGATGGTTGTTTGATGATCTGTTTGATGCTGGTCAGAAGAGAGTTGAAAGAGACGTGTTTCAACTGGCATATGATCTCAATGATGGTTGTGTGGCAGCGAGTCAGGGGCGGGCTGACCTGTACGGCGATGAATGCAGTTTGTTACTTTAATGCAGTTCATTTTGTGCATTTGATTTAATATACACATACCAGTCTATCCAAATAATTTAAAACGTATAGTTGCAATTATAGTTGAAATTAAAATGATTTTTAGGCATCTTTATTTTAAATAGCAGAAAATGATTGTACCATATCCTCATAAGCAGACATGATCATGTTGTTATTCCACAGCAAGGCGAGTGCGGTCAATAGTGAATGTTGATGGCTGTTGGCGATTGGATTCAGCAGGTCGAGAATTCGCTGCTTCATTCTCTGGTCAAATAATTTATAACATTTCCATTTCAACCGTCACTTTAATGGCAAACTGGTTAAAAACAATTATTCTATAACGAACAGCAGTGCAGATTCTGTTTAAACATGGATTTCAATTGATGATTTAATGGCACTTAATCTGCATCTGGATGCATTTGTTCATCGTGATGATACGGTAGTCAAGAGTTACATACAACTCAAGAATAGCGTTGTTATAAATGATGGGCGTGAGATAAAAATATAAACAAAAAAAAGACATGCTGCTAGAAATACCTGAGTCCAGTCTTTATCGACTCTGTTCACATCATCACAGCCACCCTCCCCCTCATCATCATCCTCATCCTCAATGGAATGAGATGTTTTTAGAAAGATCCAGATACTGCAAGCTGTTGTTGTGACATTAGGCAACAGGGCCAACATGTTGTTGCATAACTCCATCTGGCTGGCCGATTCATCAGATGAGGCCAACAAATTGTTCGTCTTGCGACTCTGTTAAGTCGAGTTGCAAAAAATAAATTATCCAATAATTCAGATAACATGATCTATTACGATGAAAAGCCGCGTCTAGAACTAGTTTTGGGGTTTGACAACAATTTAGCGCTTATGAAGCATTCCTGACAAAAATTTTAATAAAACCTTTGAACAGCATGTAGCATGATTTACAGCAATTGAAACTGATTCAAGTTTAAAACAGATTTTGTGGTGAAAGCTGGAAACGAGGAACTCGACACTTAAATAGAGAATGGAGTGGAACCACAGAAAAGTGTTTCATTTGAATCACAGGATGAAAAATTTTTTAAAACCAGAGCTGAACACATCATTGTTACCAGATATTATAATTAAATAATGAGATGTTAAGTTTAGTAAAAACTGGTTGATTTCTACCGAACTTTTATGATTACATCTCAAACGATTGTTAGTGACAACGCGATTATATTTAAAAATGGAGATAACCTTATTTGAGCCTTGAAAAGTAAAAGCACTGAATATACCGGACACAAGTTGACCACTGAACGTTTGCATTTTGCCCATCTGACCGCCATCGCTGGTGAGGTTGTGGCGAGCACTGTAGCAAGTAATTGAGTCGAATAAGCAGAAGTGGTAGAGAGAGGTCAGGTATTTGATGAGCTGTGAGTAGTAGTCGGGTGAAAATTTGTTCATTGTTGAGGTTGTTGATTCCGTAATGGTTGTGGCTGTTGAGACAGGTGGAACATCTTCTGATGGAGAATTCTCACATGACTGTCTCCTATTTATAAAAATTAATTTATTTTATTTATATTTTTTCCAGTCCTTAAGGAGGAATTATTTTCAAATTTTTTTTATAAATACACAAAAGTCTGATTGATGATGCATAACAACTAACAACTGAAAATAAAACCTGTAAAATGGCAATCGATTTTGACACTTTTCAATGTTGGCACAGAGTTGAAGTAGTACAATTGTGATGATCTTGGTAGATGCTTTTGAGAAATGTGGCATCAACTGATGGATGAAGTTTATCCAAAGTATGTGCACTTTTTCATCCGTTGAAAGACTGAGTGAATGAATGATAGCCTGCAACAGTATGGGTTGATAGATGACGGGCTGACTAGATACAAACATGATATCTTTCCTGAGACCTGATGATACCTGATGATGATCGTTCATGATGTGTGACGACGACTGACTGCTTGCAAGAGTACCTGTGGTAGCGAAGGAAGCGCTGCTCGGCTGTCTGTTCACTAGGCTGGTGCCACTGCAACCATTTGTGGTCATGAATTTTAAAAACATCTGTTCAAATTCTTTAGGTAGTTGTTCGGATGATGAATCGGGTTTTGTTAGAGAGATCTGATCTTCGAGTTGCACCAAAGATATGATTAATGACAGGAAGGCATTCTGGTACGTGCCACTGTTGGATAAATCATCCAATATGTTGCCACACAAACTGCTGCAGTCCGAGTTGTTCATCATTGTGTTAATATTGCAGTTGCCAGAACTTATCAAGTTTGAATATATTGAGTATAAAATCGTTTTCTGAACCTGAGTTGGAAAAAAATTTAAGAAGAAAAAATATGTTGAAATTTAAAATAAAAAGATGTTAAATAAGCAAAATTTTTACTTTGCTTTTTATTAGTAGTTCAGAAACAGAGAAGGCGGCTTTGATGTCACTTGCAATGATTTTCGTCAACTCATGGAAGATCGTTTTCAATAGCAAGCAACAGTTGATGTGAACTTCCTTATTGGCATTCATCATATCGACCATCATCAATTTTGATTTGTTGTTAGCTGCCTCATTAACATTATCTACGCTCGTGTTTTTCTGTTTGTTATTTTGCAAAGTAGTATCCACATCTCTTGTCTTATCAGGCAAGTTGTCAGCCTCAATGCTCTTGCATGGATAATAACTTCTGACAAAATACAATAAGATGGAGATAACTAATTCCAAGTAGTTACTGTTGTTGGCGTGGTTATCCAGCACATCATAAGGCAGGGGAGCGTGAAATTCATGTCCTAGAATGCTCTGCTTGTGTCTCAGAAAGAGGTCAAGAATGATGTTCTGTTCCATTTTGTTTCTGTTGACGCTGAAGTGAGTGATGTTCATTAGAGACTGAATAACCAGCCTAGTATCGGTCAGAATCAAACTTTTCAACAACTTTAAAACGTAAAGAATTCTAGCAGAGTCATAATGACGAATGTACAGAAGGACAAAAGACCTAAGCGAATTAATTCTGTTGCTGTTAGCGTTGTAAGTCTTGTTCAGTTCAAGACTACCAAATCGTTCAAAACGTTTCTTCAAAACTTTGGCATCGTCATCGAGATTGGTTTCTTCTTCAACGTCATCATTAGTGTTATTGACATTGTGGTTAATGTCATTGATGTTGTTGGTGTTGTCATTAACACCGATGCAGTCATTGGCGTTGTAACCAACGAATTCAGTAAAATCACATAGACCACCCATTTCTTTCAACTCCTCCTTGAGGCCATCATCAAATAATTCTTCAATTATGTTGTTTATAATTTCAATTGCTACCTCATCACCAGATGACGATTCAACTTTGTTACTGCCATCTTCAAGACCATCACCGCTTTTATCGTTTGAACTGGAATCATCTACATCATTTTCCTTGATGGAAGTTATAGTCAGGTTGTTGTGTTCGGAACTAAAATTATTCTGATCAGTCCCATTGAAATCAACGCTTTCTTGGTGATCATTAGTGGCACCATGCTTCTCATCTTCAAATATAATTTTTTCTTTCAAACACGTTTCCTTATCCAGCCTTATAGCTGACTTTGCAATAGAAGAGACATTGCCGGCCATTTTATCATTGGATGATTTCTCTTTCGGCATTCCGTAGACGAGGTCATCATCTTCATCGTCGGAGACAGCCGAAGAACCAAACGGATTGACTCTCAAAGTGACGTTCGACGGCATTGGACGGTTTGTAGAAAGGTAGTTGTCCAGCAGGATGGCTGCCTTGCGAGTGGAGGAGCCTTTGTCAGAGAGGGTAGTGAGGGCTAGGGCAGGACAATCTTCAAATGACGAAACAACCTTGGGAGGTTTGAACCTGTTGCTGCTGTCAACGTGGTACATGATGTTTCCTCCCTCGTTACTCACTGCGACCACCTTCTGCTCGTTCTGCTCTTGCTGGTCAGACTGTTGAATGAGAAGTTGAGAAGATGTTGCCAGTGACTTGTTTGGTTGCATTGAAGATGATTTCTCGAGCTGCTGGACTGATATTCTGGCGAACATTTCAAGAAGAAGATGCAGTTAAGCTGGATCACATACAATTCAATCAAAATTAATAAAACAATTTCAAGTATAGCTAAACAATTAAATACTAAAAATATTAAACAGTAAATAAAAGAAAATGATTTTCCATCTTCAATGCAACCAAAAAATTGTGAACTTTAACTAATAATAATTTAATTTTTATTAAAAATTAATAAAACAACTTCAAGCATAGCTAAAGAATTAAATACTAAAATTATTAAACAGTAAATGAAAGAAAATGATTTTCCCTGACAAAAAATTGTTAACAGGAAAAAAATTACCTTGCAGTGTCAGGGTGCAACAAAACCTTCAGTACAGGTTCAATAATGTTCGAGAGTTCATTGACCTTGACACATGAGATCAACCACGACTTGGCCAATGATGAATAAACTTGGTTGTCACTGTCCAGATCGTCCAACATAATCACAATTGCCCTAATTCAAAAATTTAACTCCATATAGAGGCCCAAACAAATCTTATTATCAATCTTTGAATTTTCAATAAACCAAATTGACCAAAATCATTTCATTTTTTTTTATTTACAATTACTTAAATAAATTCAAAAAAATTAAAAAAACTGCAAAATTAATTAAAAATTAATAAAAAAATTTTCCAAGTGAATCACTTTTCATATGTTTTCTTTCTGGTTATTAATGTGTCCATTTCTTTTAACTTTTGCCAAAAACTCAAGAATTGCATTGTGGCAGTAACCTTTTCATTCTAGCAATATTAAACACATTATAATCAATTAGAATAATAAATACTTTAGAAAAAACTGGACTCATAATTCCAAAAACACGATACAATCCTTACTTATCATGAAAATAATAAAGCAAATTCCTTGGAGAGGCACCTGACATCTGGAAAGCATTCCTTCCGTGATGACCTCCTCACAGATGTGTGAGTGAGGTGCGTGTTGGTGGATGTCGTTGAACAACTCAACCATCTTCAGCGAGCCAGTTGACTCACCATCCACCATTGCTCTCAGCATCGTCATCCATACACTGCCCCCTGCCAACTGACGAAAAGTTTGAAAAAAAAGTTTAAGTTTTTTCTTTCATGAAACTGTTTACAAAAAAAATGGTGCATTAAAAACGTGACAAACGTCTGCGTAGTTGTATAGTTTTCAAATAAACAGCTTGCATATTGAGCGCTCTAATGAAGCAAAGCCACACATCAAAGATGCAACAGTTCAATATTATCAATGTAAATGTACGTTATTTATTCATCTGCATAACATTATTGACAGACTGCAATGATACAAACTTTATAGAAACACGTCTTCTCATTCAATATATTCAAATAAGCTTGATGGTAAGAACGACAGGGAACAACATCATCACCATCAGAGACGGCTGCATTTTCGCCATCATCATCGTTATCATCATCATGTTCATTGTAAGCAGCCGCAGTGGCATGCATGCTATTCGAAGATGAAGACCAGATGTGGATGAGTTGGAAGATGCACCTAATGGAAATGTACTGGACGCCAAAATCGTGTGGAAGCAAACACAAACAAAACAAGTTCTGAAACCAGGCTGGTATCTCTGTGGTAGAATGTTTAGTATTTATGGAATATGTTTAGGTAGGTTGAGTTGAATGCAATGTTTGAAACAAGGAAATTTAAGCTTAACAACAAATTTATAAGTTGCCTGTTATTATGAATTTTTTAGAGCATTTGTCTATAAAAGTTATCGTCTCGAATTTCATAAATAACTAAAAAATTTCATATAAATAAAACGGATTTTCGTAATTTCATTCCTACAAAAATTATTCTTAGGTCCCACGAACACATCTAGAATCATCACAATTATAAATCCACTAGGAATCATTTTTAATTCTTCTAACTCTTCTGCTCTCGTACTTCGAAATTTTCCGATATTTACTAGAATTTCAAAAAAAGATTTACTTAAACCACATATTCAGAAAACTTATTGCACAAAAGTTGAAGAAAAAGGTCTAAAGGTTAAAGACTCTAACTCTAAAATTGAGATATATCAACAACATACGTACAGCCACAAAGCATGTGATAGGCGGGTATTCGAATCCAGTCAGTGTACGCACTGCCAAGCAGGACCATGCGCCTTTAACCACCAGGCCATACGCCACCAGAATATTGAAGAGAGTTAATATTGAAACGAACTTTGTATGTGTTGTGTGTGCACAGTTTAAATGCACGTCTTTCATTTGTGGTGGCAAAAACAAAGAGAACATCTCAACTATGCATTCAGACATTGCATGATAAAACGTGCACAATTATTTCGTATGTTTTTATGTAGATATGATGATGATATTTAAATGTTAATAATTTGAATATTTCAGCTGTTCAAATGCTCAAATAAGTTCATAATATTCTAAAACCTCTCAATTAGGTACATAACAATTATATTTAACTGGCTACATTGGCCATCTGAGGGTGAGAGCTGATTTACAAAAACTATGTTTTGACAAAATCTTTGAGTTTTATTAAATTAAATAATAAATAATAAAATGTTGGAAATTATAAGATGTTTAAATCAATCAATAAAATGAAATATAAAAAATAAAAATATAATCATTTAATTTGATATCCATGAGCAGTAGCATACCAATATCGTTGAACGAGGCATTGTAGGTGGAGAGGGATAGTGATTTGGAGAGCAGGAGACACAAGTGATTCAGTAACGTTTCGTGTTCTGCCTTGCTTTTAAAGTTGATCTTCTTCGTCGATATAACTTTTGATATTTTGCTATGATAATCTTTCCATGACGCCGTTTTGTTTGAATGAGTGAACAAATAATCAATCGTGAGGTTCGTGAGGTTGCTCGATGAAACAATTCTATTCTCAACCACTGCTTCGAAGAAGATCAAAAACTTGTCTATGAAAGTGAATAAGGAGCTATTTCTATTGACGTATCCAGCCTGGTACAGAAACCTGCAATTAACATCTTTTATAATTTTTGTGGCAGACTGATGATCATTGCCACAGTTCCTTGTGGATTCATTTATTTCATTACTATCGTTAGAGACAGTTACATCATCGTTATCATCATTGTTATCGGCGTTGTTGTTCAAGAACTGCTTGTTGACAATCTCGCCAACCATCTCGAAATCATGCTCATCGTCAAGATCATTGTGCTCATCCACTTCACCAGCATTCACATCATTCACCGTTTCGGCAGCGGCTTTATCGTCTGCAACGTTTGCCGTGGTGCAATTGGAAGCTCCAACCTCACGAAACTGCTTGCCCCTTTTATGTCCTCCAGTTCTGTTTCGCACGTAGTCCATGGAAATGGAATGGCAGTACGAAATGATTCGAGTTATAATGTTAGAGCAGAGTTTCAAAGAAGAGACGAGTTCATCGTTTGAGAGCTGCTTGTAGTTTTCTTGCAGGGTTTGCACAATGTGGATGAGCATGTTGGGGAAGTGTTGTGTGTTCATTTCAAAGTAGGTCTCCTGTTGGTGTTGCATTAAAAATTAGATAACAAATTTATTATAATAATTCAAACTAGAAACCAAAAAATTCAGTGGTGCACATAAAAACGCACAGCCAAGTTAATCAATAAACAATCAATAGCTAATTAATTAGTCCCAACATCTCAGCAGCAGCGTGTGATGCACATGTTCTCATGCAAATGTACATGCATGCTGCCATTTTTATGAATTCATAAACACTCAACTTCACGAATTATTAAGCCATATTAAATCAATGAACAGAAAATAAACAATAAATCCAAACAAACATATCCATCTTTGAAAAAACTATTATTTAATTTAGGAAATAATCTTTATTATGAAAAAAATGGAGAAAAATGAATGTGACATACCAATGACAATTTATCAAGCAGGAAAGTTACAATGTCAACAAATTCTCTAATTGTTATAATGTTTCCATACGGTGCACTTGGTGGTGATGATGAGGTGGATGAATGCCCTTCTGGTGATGATAACTTAATGGATTGCTTACAAGCTTCACCAAATAACTTGGCTATAAAATTCCAAATATAGCTGGGATCAAATTTAGTGAACAATATGTTGGCAGTCTTGTAAATCTCAACAGCTGCCTGTTTCTCTTCTAACTTAATTTTTCTAATGAGTGATTCATCTGCCAATGAGGTTGTGAAGCTTACCTTGCTTTTGACCAAGGTTCTCACGTTCTCCTGCAGGTTTGTGTGGCATTCTCTGTACAACGTTCGCAGGACATCCAACAACAAATCGTTTAAAATGGTGCTGACGATTTCAGGTCTGTCCAGTAGACTGATCATTGTCTTCAGTGATAGCAATACATTCTGCTTGGAACTGCTGCTGAAATCTTTGTCAGAGTTCAATATCGATTTGATGGCCAGTATCAAGAGATCTTTTGTGAAAATGTTGAAATAATTTACATCGACGTTTTGAAGCTGGTTAGTGGAATGCTTTGCTGGATTGTTGGAAGAAGCGTCGAGCTGAGATTGCTGCTGTTGTTGGAGAGACTGCTGCAAGTGCTGCGGAATGATGAACGGCACGGGTACGCCATTTAAATCAGTGCCAAGAAGCCAGGCATTAAGACGTCTGTTCAGGGACATATCTCGTCGCAACAGGATAGTAACAGCATGTGTTAGGACGTTCAAGATATCTGAACGAGGTAGTTGGCATTTGTGGATGGGAAAGCACGAGATGAGAAGATCGAGGACACATCGTTGCACCAGGTAAGCACTGTCCTCCAGAGAGAGGCATAATGCCTGAACCTGCATCATCAATCATACAAATAAATTAATGAAAAGTCATTAATTAGTTAGTTGTAATTAACCTAATTAATTGTTTGTTAATTAATAACAAATCATTTCAACTAACAAGTTAACGTTACAAATTAACTTTTATAATGAATAGCAGATAAGATAAATTCATCAGCACCATACCGTCGTCGTCGTCGTCAGCCTCATCATTCATCATCCATCACCATCCCACTTAAACGAAATATCCCTGTACAGCTTGCACCTCCAAAAATGTTTGCAAATTTTTTCAACTTTCTAACCGAAATAAAATTTAGTTTGCTGGATTCTTTTCTTAAAATAATTGCTCAGGGTTTTAATTTTTTTTACAAACTATCTTCAGAGCTATGAATTTCTTTGCAATCCACCTACATAGACCGCAAAACCTTAACAGTTGTTCATTCTCACCTCACAGGTCGTGATCTCCGCCATGCTGCTCCTAGTGTATGGAGTGGGCTGCCTTTCAAGCTAGGACAGTGTTATTCACTGTACCAATGCAAACAAATGACAAAAGCCCATCTTCTCAAAAAAGCTTACATGAGATGCGCTGTGTCAGATGTTCATGTGGTAGCAAAAACTAATGATGTAACAATAAGGTGCCTGGACTAAATTGCAAAGAGACCCACACCTATCACGTGTGGGTCTGATGCCTTCTTTCACATGTATCTACATACAGTATGTGTTTGCTGGTTAATATTGAAGAAAGAATTGTAAAAAAAAATAATTATCCCAATCTTCATAATTCTTACATTTTTCATAATTCTTTCTTACAATCCTTACAGCTCCTCAACCTTCCTAGATAAACATCACTTCATTTGACCAACGTCTTTCTTCTATTGCTAACCTCACAAATTGGTGTTACATTCCAAATTAACGACATATAGCAGAAATTTTTCAAAAAATAAAATTTACGTTGGAAGGTTTTACATGAAAAGTTTAAGAAAGATTGATTTTATAATTGTTTAATTGTTTGATAAGCAGTCAACAAAATTTAAATCTTCACATTTTTTTTTGTGCCTTATCCTTTTCAGGACATTGGCCACCATCAACTTCTAACACTTTGTAGTAGCTGTCGTTGGTTTTTCTTGGCTAAGATTGTGGACAGTAGGTTGCCATTACTTGCTGTCAACTGCATCATATACGCTGAGTGTATGATAGCCAATGAGATGTTCGAATCAGCGCGCATTTGAACTACTGAGCCATCTCGCCGGCCAACATGCGACAACTTACGTCGTCTCCCCATTTACCGACCTCGGAAGGATAGACGGCTGGGTTGGCCGAGGGTCGGCTACCCGGATGAATCTGCAGAAACGGCAGGATTCAAACCCGGGTCATGGGAGTAGTAGACGGACACGTTAACCACTCGGCCACGAGACCCTTAATCATCACAACCAGATTAAATATACTTAAACTGCTTAACAACTGTTGTGAACCATGGCAAGTGGCAAATTAGAGATGATGCTGTCGAATTAGCAACTGAAATTTCAAGGTGGAGAAATAACAAATCAATTTTTGAGTTGCGTATAAAGGCCTAAGCTACTTAAATAACATAACATTAATATACTATCATCATCATTTTTTGATGGAAAAATGTTCGTTAGTAGGTTTAATTAAACGAAAGTGTGTAAAAGAATATAAAAACTAATTGATCTATTTATTTATAATTAAAAAAGGGATTGGTTACTAGGAGGTAAATGTAATTACAATGCTGATTACAGTTGCGTAAAATACTGCAATTATAGGCAGAGACATTCTTTACAAAATAAATTAGTTTAGGAAATGGTTTTCCCAACATTTGCATTACCAAGACCGTCATCCTTATCATTACTGCCACATCTTCATCATCAGCAGCATAGACATCTACATCATCATCATCATCATCATAAACACCTAACTCACCACCACCACCACCACCACCACCACCATCATCATCATCATCATCATCATCATCATCATCATGATCAACAACAACATTATGATCAACACTTACTTCATCATCAACAACACTGACGCTATGAAAAAGTTATGATAACCAAAGAGAAATGGAGCTATTTCAGGGAAGGTATGTAGAAAGATGGAAATATAACTTCTTCCATCAGCATACAAACTCAAAATGACTGCACACCCAAAACAAACTTAATTCACACAAACATCATTTCATTCAAATCTCTCTCTCTCTCCTCTCTATTTATCTATCTATCTATCTATCTATCTATCTATCTATCTATCTATCTATCTATCTATCTATCGATCGATCTATCTATCTATCTATCTATCTATCTATCTATCTATCTATCTATCTATCTATCTATCTATCTATCTATCTATCTATCTATCTATCTATCTATCTACCTACCTACCTACTACCTACCTACCTACCTACCTACCTACCTACCTACCTACCTACCTACCTACCTACCTACCTACCTACCTACCTACCTACATACCTACCTACCTACCTACCTATCTATCAATCCATCTAACCTATAACTGAAGGGTAATAAAATATTTAACTCTGAACAATAAATTGATTGCCATGTACAAGTGAAGCAGCCCTTATCACTAACAATCAAAAGTGTAAAGATGTTGTAACATGTAAAAGATTTACAGACAACAAAATTTTTTGTATCCATCAGCTCTTGATAAGAAATCACAATGAGACAGGGGAAAATTAGTTAGGATTTGTGAGTAAACAAACTTCAACTTTGTACTCGAAACAAAAAATCATGATAACTAAAGTTTAAATAATTAAGACGTTTGAAAAAAAATTGACGGAGTAAAAAGTCCCAATTGCAAGTCAACGCAGTCAATAAATAACTTGAAAAGAGTGACGTGGCAGGTATATTGGCATATTAGAAAACAAGCACACAACAGCACATTGTCTACAGAGTCAACGATTAGAGAATTCGAAGAGGTTGAAAAGTGTGATCCAGAAAAATTACTGAATAAGACCAAATTGTAATGTCGTAAAAATCCTTGGGCACTACACATACATACATGCATCCATACATACAACCGTACAAACAATCATACATACAATCAAATCATACATACAATCACACATACAGCCACACGTGCAATCATACATAAACTCATACATACAATCAAACACTATCACACATACAGCCATAGATACAATCATGATTATATACATTAATATATATATACAATCGTATTTACTGTTTAATTGTGCATACAATCACACAATATAAAGCTAAAAAGTATAGAAGTACTTATATAATTCAGCTTCTTGCCCTTAAAATAGATTAGATAATAGACATTTCTAAAAAATCAAAGTTGTGATGTGGCATAATTTTCATAATAAAGAATCACCTAGTGACCAAATAATGAACGAAACATGAAAAAAAGAAGAGACCAACCAGCAGGCATATGTTGGTACCCATGAGGTATATCTGATCTTCCATTGACTGCTTCTTGTCAAAGTGCATGATGATGAAGTTGAGGCCAGCACACCTGACAGCTGAGTTGCAGTTGATGCACTCCCACATGCACGTGTAGAAGTGGCTCTTATCCACGCATTCGCTGAATGATTCCAACAGCTGCTGCATTCTATTACGAGCGGGAAATGAAGCATGTATTTTGTTTTTGCGATATTTATCATTATCAATTCTATTTCGATATAAATTACTCACTACATGCAGAGTGAAAAAAATAAAACACTAAGAAACTAGGAGCATAAACAAGTAGAACTCTTACAATCACCTCAACAAACAGCTAATGTAGACTTAATCAAATGACTACCTCTCAAAATACTCTGAAGCATTTTCGAAACCAGGCAATAATCCCATTAGCAATCCCGTCATGGCAGGTCGTATGGAAGAGTTGAGAGGCACAAAATGATTTTCATAAATACTGAGTAAGACGGGTCGGACGTTGATCGCTGCATAACTCAAGAGTGGAAAGAGTCCACAGCTATAGATGAAGATGTCGAGTGAGAGTTCGTGCGGTCCGATGCACCTGAAGATGATGTTGTACGTCTCGAGGGCCTTCAAATGCACTCCGTTCGGTAGGGAGGGATGAAGACATTGAGCCAAGCGCTTGCCTATCAGCACTTTTCGAGGAATTTTTGTATACTTGCTGTAGGAATTCAACACCTGAGTATTTTTTGTATAATGATTCTGAACTTTTTAGAACATAAAATTAATGGGTATATTTCAAAAATTTGTTATTTAAACTCAAAAACATTAATAATATAAATAAATATTCAGACAGTGCAATCATCTAATCAAGTAAGCCAGCTTGAAAACAAAAGAGAAAATATGAATTAATCCCAGTTAATCGCATTTCTAAATGAACTTTTCATTTCTTTTAAGATGTAGGCACAGATATACAAACAAACAGGAGCTAATTAAAAGCCAGATAAACATTCCATTGAGACTGTATAAACAATAATTATTAAATTTCTATGGATCCATGCAGTTACTGGCAGATTTGAGTGTCATTGATTTTCATTAACTTGACTTACGCAATATCAGATTCAAGCATTCGGTTAATAAATTAAAATAGAAAAATTTTTTTTACAAATTTTTTAATTTTTTTTTCACTTTCTACACCTCTAGTCTTGTTATTATTTTGGTTGAATGGCTCAAGTTATGAACAAGTAGCGACAAATAGTCATAAGCTAGAAGTGATTTTAAACATGTGAGTAAGATAAGAAACACATAACCAGATCACAGATATCTATCTATCTATCTCATTGGTCAGAAGACTTGCATCAATCACTTGTTTTTATTCAAACTAAACCAATGAATTGCGAGCTAATGTGAAATGATTCAAACAAACAGAAAACAGAAGCAGACAAACAAAAAGAACTTTTGACGTAAGAAATATCAACAGACAGAAAAAGCAAAATATACAACTGAACTGAAATGAGCCATTAACACTTTCGTCAATGAATAACAAAGTGGTCACAGAGGAGTTTGCTCAGCCAGTTGGAGGGTCATGTTTCGCACTGCTATTATGCGATGGCATGGTTTGAAATACTGCCTGATCGAAACTCGAAGACCATCATATGATTGTATGATGCATGCTTGCATGTGCATAATTCACGTGTATATCCATCGAGTTTTGGGAATAGTGTACAGCCTTTATGACACATTGGTTTATTTAAGAGTGTAGAATAACGTGTAATCTGCTCTGTGTTTGACAGAACCGCATTGTAAAGAATGAAAGAAAAGAATATACATTAAAAAATGATAATTATTTTTAGTCACTAATAACATTATAGATCCTACTTTGTTGAGTTTCCCCAATGCCGCAATCAAATCAGCCCATTCACTTGTGTTTTCAAATGATCTCAGTGCGCTGTCAATGGCTGAGGTGTACTTCTTGTAGTTCGAGTCATTCGTTATGTCGGTCGTCGTTTTGTTGTTGTTGTTCATTGTGAGATTATTAACATCATTGATAGATCTGAAAAATGTAAACATTAATAAAGAATAAAAGTTAGTAATCTTGAAAAAGATTGACTTTGTTTTATTATCCAACCCTATCCACCAGTGAATTGTTTTCCTTAACTAATTAATGTGAAGCCCATGCAAACATTTCTCTTTAATTTTTTGGGCTTTTAAATTTGCTTAATTTAGAATTGATAAATAATAACTGATTTGTAAAGTCTTCAATTCAAAAATACGACATTTATTTAAAAAAATTTTGAGATTAACAGCTGATAATTTTTCAATCGATCAATCAGTCAGTCGGTCATTCAGTCAGTCATTCAATAGGTATTTTCAAATAACAGTATATATTTAAATTTTAAAATTAAAATTAACAAAGAATAGATTATTCCAATTTCATAGCAAAATCTAACACTACAGAACAAACACTTGCAAACACACATAATTATATTTAATGGATTAATCATCCATCCTTGTATTGCAATAATATTAATTTGATAATATATAACAATAACAATAATAACAATAAAACTATGGATGAATCAATAATAATAATAATAATAATAATAATAATAATAATAAAACTATAAATGAACCAGCAACAACAACAACAGCAACAAACAACAACAATAATAATAATAATGATAATGATGATACTGTCTGCTAAAGTAATAATCAATAAAATAATATAATATAATTATAATATAACATAACATGATGACTATCTGTGATGCAATGGCTCTATCTATCTGTCTATCACTATCGGCATGTTTATCTAATGAATTATTTCATCTATCCAGACTATTTAGCTGCAATTTTTAAATTTAATTAAATTTAAACAGAATCACAAACATTTTGAATTATTAATCATTTATAAATAAAAATTCAACAATTTACTAATCTAGCAGCTAGCTACTAAACTAAACAATATTTTCATTTTCTTTATTACATATGTAATATATATTACTTACAAACAACATTACTTACCAGTGAAAGAATAATAAATAAATTAAATTACTAAGTCATATACAAACATTAATAATGATTTAAATTTTTAGTTTATGTTTAAAAAATCTTTTTTAGTTCTGTTGTTTTTTTTATTTTATAAATGAAACCATTTGTTTGTAATGTTAATCGTTAATGTCATTAACAACTACATCAACAATTAGCTTTTAATCCTTAATTAATGTAGTTTGTAGTTATTAAAAAAAGTTACGACTAACACTGACTAAATAAATAAAGTAATGTTGTAAAGGTAGACTATATCTTTTATTTCTAACTGTATGTATGCTTGTTTTAAAATGTAGTTTGTTGTTTATTGTTTTAGTTATAGGGTTTTGTCTTGCTTCATTCCAGAAATCCTTTGCTTCTCTTCTTAGGCTATTACAAAAATATTGCAAATTTAATTTGGCAAAGTCAAAAATAGAAAAAATATAATAGAAGACAACAAAAAAACTAGTCAGCAGGCTTATTTGACTTTAAAACAATTGTTTTAATATTTGAAACAAAAATTTATTTTTGAACATTTAAAAAAGTTTCCCAGTTGAACAATTCAAAAATTTATTTCAGAATATCTACACAATCAAAAGCAGATCAGAAAGTTATTATCGAAATCGCAGTAAAAGTAAATAAACCAAAGATACTTAAAAGAAAATGATAAAATCGACCTTGATTGAAAAATATGCACATCTATGCTAGGGTGCGGTGTTACGAATATCAATGATCACAAACACCCAAGAACCGAATTTAACGTTTACCGTGAACGTTTAACGTGAACCGTTTAACGTTTGCCGACTTCATCGGCGATCAACATTTAATAGCCACATACAAACGAATGACGCGAACGCTACACTTGATTTCTGGCCAAGAGGGGAACACACAGAAGACCTTGTCTCGGAATTTATTGAACTGCGTTATTAAACCAATAAGTGAACATAACAAAGTTTGAAAAAACAGGACAGCCAAAACATAGTTTGAATGGCAAAACGAAACAGTATGTATAATAAAATATTAAATTTCCAATTCATAGGACTTCCATCCTATTTTGTGCTGCTTCGTGGCACTTCAAGGTGCCGTCCCAGGAACATGAAACCACCTGATCATTGTGTGGCTTCCACGCCAAACCTCGAACACAATCCTTATGGGATGAATCTTTGTACCTACGTTGTTTAAAATTATCAAAGCCAATCTTAGAGTACATCCTTTCAACACATACACACACATGAACACGCGCACACATACAATTTATGTATATATATATATATATATATATATATATATATATATATATATATATATATATATGTATTGGGTGGATGGTGTAACGATAAAGTGCCTGACATTGCTGTTGCAGTGACCAGGTTTGATTGCAAAAGAGATCCTCGCCTACCACATGCTGTGTATGTGATGTGTTGTTTTAACGTGTATGTACTGTGTGTTTGTTAATGAAATCTCGGGAAAAAGAGAGAGAATTGTATGAATGAATAAATAAATAAAAACATAAATAATAAGTATATACACAAGTGGATGAAACTTGATACAAACGAATACACGGATATCTGCCAAAATATTAGAGATGAACTAACATAGTCTTCAATTCGTTATCTGTTGGGCTGTACAAAGACAGAGCCACGGTAGCATCATGAGATGACGTTGCTAACATCAACCTGAAATTGTTTTCAATTTTTTGATGGTCGTTTTACAGAAATATTATTCATCTGACTTTCGTTTTTAAACATCAATGGAAAACAGTTACGACATAGATAAAATAATCAAAACTGAATAAAACTTAATCATCGCCACCATAACTAATTAGTGCCTACAGTTTAATTAAATAATACGTTCATAATAAATGTAAACAAATCACAATGAATGAACACTCTGTGGAATGTTTCGGTCGGAAAAGGCGTTATGACGTGAACGGCCAAAATTGGCAAGGTGCAGAATATATTTAGCCCATCAAGGCATTTGATGTGAGCAACATGGATACCGGTAGATATATACAAGAGACAAATGTAACTTGGATATAAGGAACAAATGTAACTTGGATACAAGGGATAAATGTAACTTAGGGCGAGCATTGTAATCATGAGGTCTGAGGATGAGTGGAAGAAGAAATTCTCAATGAATAATTTTAAAAGACTTTGAGTAACTGAAATGCAGATGATCAAATAATTCGACTTTGGTAGATGTGTTTAGCAATGATGATGTTTGAAAAGGGTCAGGAAATAAGTGTTTGAGTGATGTACTGAGTCAAAATAGGTTGTAAATTGGCAAATGCATGGCCTTAATGTCTTAGTATGGGGTAAACATTATATTTAAGAAAGATTGAGTATTTGGAAAAAATTTCTAAAAGTTCACTGGACATGTAATCCCGTCAGCAATCATAACCATTTGCACGTTTCATCCACGCTAATTTCTCTTGTCCTTCACATAATATCGTTAGCTCGGTAGTAAAGTGTGCCATTAAACGGTGGCGATGATGAATGAAAAAACGCTAACTTTGAGCTTTGAAAAGCAAGTTTAGATATGGCTCTCGTGTGAACATCAATGACTCTGAGAGGACTCGATGTGGACCTCGTGTCCATGATTAAAACTTCACCAGCCTCTGTACCAATGATGAATTGGTGTTCTCTGCCAGGCACCCAAGTCAGTGATGTTGGAGTAACTATAGGCAATGTGTCTGAAAAATTTTATAACCATGTTCAATTTTTATTAGGTTTATAAACTTTTTAGTCCAATAAATTTCGTGATGAAAATTAGACTTGATATACTAAAACACATAAGGAAAAAGGAAACAAATTAGAACGAGAAACAAAATCTAAAATCAAAAAATAAAAATAAAATCGAAATTTTGACTTAGCAATAACATATCATTGTTTGCCCATATGATCTGCACCCACTACTCTAGTCTTCACCATAATATCGTTCTTTTGTTTGTAGTTCTTGCGTGTGAATTAAACATGCCATGGAAACGGTTACCACAAGCAAAACAATGAAATCATAAAAACCTATTTAAGCAGTCACAACCAAAGGTAGAAACTATTCAATACTCACAAACGGTTGAAGCAGGTTTAGTGTTTCTCAAATCCCATAAAAATACTCTTTTGTCCTATATGTTGATAAACAACAAAAATACCAAATAATAAAGAATACTAAAACAAATTTTTTAAAAAGAATGAATTTATCAAAAATTAAATTAAGTCAAAAGATAGTGGGCAATGATAAACCAAAGTTGAGATGGTACAAACCAATGACCCCGAGAGAAAGACATCATTGTTAACGAGACTGAAAGACAGGCAGCTGACAGCATCAATATGACCTAAATTCAAAACATACTTTTTACTAAGTTGATTCTAAAAAAAAGGGGATATGAGAAAAATGGAAAACCTGTGTGTGTGGCTATTGGCAGGCATTCATCCGCATTCCAAACTTTTATGCTGTGGGTTTATTTTGGAGAAAACGTTACAAATAATAATATATCACACTTATCAACAGCAAAACGGAAAAATTCTGAAAAACTGATCAAGTTGGAAATAAACAAGTTATACAAATTAATGGAAAAATTACTAACGTGCAATCATGACTTCCAGTAACAAATTGTGTTTGTTTGAGAGAATTATCTATTGATGAAACAATGTCATCATGTGCATCGTCAGATAGTAAGAGATTTAGTGAACATTTACTTTCCACAAGTTGCCACATAGATATGGAGCCTACAAAAAATATAAATTAAACATGAACACAATAGTTTTAATTTTAAAACTTATTACAATAAAATGAAAAAACTTTACTTTATTTAACTATCGGGTGGCAAAAATTGAACTATATTCATTTTAAGAATGCTTCAAAAATCAAAATTTAATTGTTTGGAAAAGCTGTTAACTGTCGTCGCCATGATTTATCATTGCAACATGTTAACAACGTTGGTAGCTGAACTTAAATAAAATCCCATAGTAACTGAATTTTATGTAGAAAGTGCAATGGTA